AAGTTACACAAGAGAACTTTTTCACACCTTTCCAAGAAAGCTGTACATGGATGTTACTCTATGGAGAATGTGCAGAATCTTAGGAGCATGATCAAAGATACAAGGTGGGACCTGTTTAAAGAAGACTCTGTTGATGGCACAATCTCTAGTATTACAAGTTATCTCAAATTTTGTCTTGACACCTGTTGTCCCAGAGAAATGCTCTTCATCAGATTTGACTGCTTCTCCTCCCCTCAACTTAAAAAGCTTCGAAAGCAAAAAGAAAAGTTATATAAAATGAAGGATAATGCTGGTTTGAAAAGAATTGACATCCTAATAAAGTCTGAAATGCACAGAATGAATTCAATTTACAACCAAAATTTTATGCGTCAAATATATGGAAACTTTTCAAGGAAATTACTGGTGGTAAGCAGATGAACAGTATTCCTTATTCCCTTGATGTTTGCACACTAAACAAGTCCTTCACACATTCTCCCACAAACGCCAAACTTTCTAGTGTTACAAGTAACAATGAAACTTGCTTCTCTGGATTTACTACAAATGATGTTCTAAAATGTCTCCAGTCAATGAACCCTTCTTGTAGCCTGAGTCCGGATGGTTTGCCTAGTGTTGTTCTTAAAAAGTGTGCAGATATCCTTTGTTATCCTCTCATGGACATATTTAATGAATCTTTTTCCAGAAATGTGCCAACCGCTTGGAAGGACATTAAAATTGTACCTATTCCTAAGTCGTCTACTGCGACACGTTTTAAATTTAGACCAATTGCTATTACTTCCCCTTTTCTGAAAGCTATGGAAAAGTTGCTCTTACTTAATCTTCAACCTTCACTTAAAGCCTCTAACGGTCCAAAACAATTCGCCTACAAACACAGTAGAAGTACTTTAGATGCAGCTGCAGTCTTGTATCATTACATTGTCTCTTGCTTAGACAAGGGGGCTAAATTTGTTCGCTGCACTTTCCTAGATTATACATCTGCTTTCGACTTAGTACCTAGGGACATTTTGTTCAATGAGCTTGCTGAAACTCAAACTGACTGTTGGGTTGTCAAATGGCTGCATTCTTATTTTTCAGGAAGAAAGCAGTACACTCTATGTAAGGGGAAGTCTTCCACTTCATTGCTTACTGAGGCTGGTGTCCCTCAGGGCACTGTCTCTTCTCCTTGTTTGTTTTCTTTCTTCTTGCATGACTTGCCTCACTATAATGAAATGAACTTTATCAAGTACGCGGACTATCTAACTATTTCAATGTCTGTTAACTCTCAGCTAGACTGCACTAAGATAAACATCTTTCTGTCAGACGTCAGCAAATGGTCTTCGTCTAACGACCTTAAACTTAATCCTTCCAAATGTCACACTGTTAATTTCAGTTCCCGATGTAAGAGAAAGTTAAATGAAGCTGTTGGTTCCTATGACCGTTGCAAAATCGATGATACTGATATAGAAACCAAGAATGAAAGTTAAGTATCTCGGATTAATTCTCTCTTCTGACCTATCCTGGTCTTCCAATGTCTTAGCGATTTCTAAAAGAATATTTCGTCTGACGTTTTACATTAAGAAGTTAAGGCACTCAAGCATAACTCAATCCCTCCTCTTACAGTTTGTCAAGTCGTGCATTATACCCATTCTTCCTTACTATTCACCATTATTTTTTCCTGCATTGCTTAAAAACGACCGTGTCATACCTCGTAGAACTCTGAAGACTGTCAGTAAGACAGTGGTATCTCTCTGGGCCATATCTTTGACATCGTCATTGATAGGCACTTGATTTCATGCAACAAATTTGTTAAAGGAATTTTGTCAGACTGTGAGCATCCACTTAACTTACCCTCAGCTTTCACCTCAGGTAAAACAAGAAGTCTTTTCAGAAGATTTTATGAACGTACGTCTAAGTATAAAAATTCAACTATACCATATTTGGCACGTACTTTATGTGATGAAAATAGTGTTAGGCATGAACTAACTGACCTTCTTTGCACTACTAAATAAACCATTTCATCCACCCTTATAACATCAAGCTTTATTTTTATTGTACTTCTTGTATTTATGATCCTCTCAATATTTTGTTTTTATTTGTTTATTTTTTCATAAGTGTGAACGTCATTTTAGCTGTGTTATAACTGTTCATTTTGTCTTTCCCCTCACCATGGTGCCATATCAACAGAATATTAAATTCAATAATGTATAACATGCTAAAGTTTCCAAACTGAATCGACAATACTGTTTTAAACATACTCACTGTCGTTATTATTGTTATTATTGTATCTAATGATTATGTCGTAAATTTGGACAAATTCCTCCGATTAATTTTGTTTTAATTTTTACTTTTATATAAATTTTGAGCAAATTAGATGCAATATTGTGACAAATACTGAGAACTCCATTCTGTATTATAAGTACTGTTTTTGGAATAAAGTAAATTATTATTATTATTATTAGATATGCAAAATAAATAGGAGAGGTATGATGTCACAAAGCCTAAGGACTATGACTCGTATCATCCATCCCCAACCTTGAACGTATTTTCCTTTCATGGGGAGGATGTGAGCCATGTACAAAATCTTCCTCCCAAAAGAAGAAGTGATCACTGTGCTCACATTCAAAGTCATGGATGCAAAAATGTCCTGGATCAAAACCCTACCTCGACCAAAAGTCTAGAAAGACGATAAAAACTCCATCGTTTCGACCGCCAAATTATTGGACTGACACATACACCCAGAGTCTCACATGAAGTCTGTATGGGGCAAAGTCAAGCAACTTTACGCCCAGGTGACCACACCTTTCATCACTTGGCAAATCCCAAAGGGTAGAAAATATCGCCTCCCATCGATAAACTGAAAGAATAATGGATTACACAAGCGTAAGCACAAATTTTTGGGCCCGTCAATTACACCTGGGACCCTGGGGAAACAAATTGTATACTACCACTAGGTATAAAGTGTATTGCAGAAATCCGCCGGTCAAGGATGAACTTCAGATTGCATCTAGCACAAAATGCAGCAGCACAAACTTGGAAAATGTTTCGTACATGAACTTAAGTAATCAGACATCCATCTTATTAACTTACCCGTTTATACCAAGTATATTATTGCATTACAGCTTTATGGTTCTAAACTCGCCTTTCGACAACGACACAATGGAAGATAACCAAGGAGAAGGAGATAAAATGGTAGGCCAATTCTTTAAGGTCATCACACAGGAATCATCAATCCCCATATCACTAGCATTGGAGCGTCAAATAAATACAATGCAGATTCCGCCCATGTGCACCGAAAAATCGTATTCAATTCTCTAAAGAAAAAAGATGTAAAATAGTCAGTGGGACCCGATGACCTTCATCCAGGGATTCTCATGGAGCTGGATGCTCATATAACTGACCCATCGGCTACAATCTGCAGAACTTCAAGTAAACAGCATATTTTTAATCTCATTGCCACATTGTCGCTAGTGTTTTCACTTTATTTAAATTTTCATTCATTTCTTATGCAACAATATTATTGGTGTAAATTGTTATTAATATGAAAGCCCTATCTTAGTTATTGTTTTCGTAATGAGAAAATTAGATGCAATATGGTTTACATGCCGAAAACTCCATATTTGTACCTAAAGTTCAGTTTGGAAAAAGCTGTTATTATCTTCAAGTCATCTACTTTAAATGGAGCATCACCACGTGACTGGAAAGATGCCATAGTAACGCACATCGACAAAGGAGGATCAAGACACTTTGTTTAAAACTACATGCCTATTATTCTCACAGCACCTTAATTAAGATACTGGAAAGAATTGTCAAGAAAGATATCATGGCATATTTGGAAGGCAACTTGTTATCCGAAGCACTGTATGACTACCGGGGAAACCTATCATAAATTCCTAGAGCAAGAGAAAGTCAGATCAAGACAGGGGACACGAGGAAACCGATTGACATCATTTTCATAGACTGCAGTAAGGCCTCCGACAAGGTACTTCACTAGAAATCACTCACGAGATCGGAAAGACTTGAAAACCAAAAGAGGCTTGTTAGACAAGAATATGGAATTTCTCATGGGTAGAAGACAGAGAGTCAGGATCGCTTCAAGACTGTCCTTGTGGTCGACGGTAGTTAATGGAGTGGCACAAGGCACCGTACTCGGTCTCCTCTTCTTTTCCTCTGTATATTATTGAACTACCTGTGCCTACCGAATCTCCCATGGTTCCCTGAGCACATGACCCAGAGTCTCAGAGGAAGCTAAGGGGCGGTCAATTTGTGCCCACGTTTTGGGGAGATTTCAGCAAATTCGGTGTGTTGCAAGTATCGAATTATTCTAATCAATGAAGCGAAATGCCAGCCAAGCAAATTGTCATACTAGCTCCAGCTCAGATTAACAAAAGGGGTTTACTTACCCATCATCTGAGACTGCTAGTGATCTAAGTGTGACAGTAAGTAAACCGTCGAGCATTGGAAGCTCTCATTTTCAGATCTTGATGGGCCATACTCAGATCGCTTACTAGAATTATCAAAGAGATTTTCATTTCTTCACGTATTTCTCTGGTGTGTTCAAGACAGAAAAGCTGTATCATGGCAGCTGACCCCTGTCTTAAAGGGAACTAAAATATTCCAGAAAGGGCTCGAAGACAGGCAACAAGTATTATTCCCTGCATGATCAATTTACCATACAAAGAAAAATTACATAGTCAGAATCTCTTATCCCAGTTATACCAAAGGCAGTGTGGAGATCTCAGTGCAGTGAATACAACTTTAAATAATGAATTTGGGCCGGATCTGTTTTCTCTTTGGAGGACATATCAGAGGAGTTCAAAAGACAAGGAGAAACTACATCTCTGTGGTGTACTGGTGCACCCAGGGAGTCATAAGCTGCTGCCATCGAATTCCGAAAGAACCGGTATCAGCAGGGCTAACTGGACCGTCGAAGAAAGGTCCAGAGAAGCAAACACATTATCACAAAAGGATTAACATCTCTTTCTAGTCTTCAACAAACAATCAATCGATCTCATCAATTACGGCGCGGAAGACTTAAACGCGACGTTACTTTTGGTTATAAGATGTCTTCAAACCCATTTATTGTCTTTTTTGATACTTTCGTTCATACTGGGCAAAACAAGGTAAACTTTTGACATATATTAGACATTACTGATTCAGGAAAGTATAGATTGTGTCAGGTTTAAGAGTGGAGTTGAATTAGTGAAAATATGTATTCTTCCATTTGGGTCGGTTGTTGAGAGTAACCTATCTGATGAACCACTTTTGGGGTAATTCATAATTATAGTAATAAATATAACCCTCTAATAGAGCTACTAATCCAGCTTCTTTCGATATGAAGGTATACAGTAACAGTCGAACTAATTGCATTGTCTTGCAAAATGTTGCTAAGTGAGTTCTTCCCTTTCCCTTTATTTCAACTTTCAGATACCATTTTAATGAAAAAACTGGGATCAACACAATTTATTTCGAAAACAGCTTACACTCTAACTTTTTGCTTTTCCGTGGCGTGTACTCTACCCTGACAGTTGCTCTTTTCGGCTTTCCGGCCGTGTCTGTACCTGTCCAGTCACTAGCTCCAGCTACTAATCTGTCGATCCCACCTCCCACCGCGGGAATAAATATTGGGGCAGTCGAAGCAGGTATGTGTGTTTTACTACAATTTCTAAGTTGAATTCAGCTAACTCAGGGTATTACAATCTTAATAAAGTGCCAGGAATTCAAACTGAACAAAAGGTTAGTTGATAGCCTTATTATGTATCTTTTTTTGCTAATATTGTTAATTTAAAACTCATCCAGTCACACCGTACAACTTTTTCCTAATCTTGGAGAGAGTCACTACTAGGTACTACTGGTCGTTTCAGATTTCAGATTTATTGGTTGAGGATAGAAGTCTTGGAGCCTATGTTAATCCTTTTCCAGTAAATTTCTGTGATTTTCCAAACCCTTCTGGAATGATTCAGTTGAGGTTGCAGACACCACTTCTTCTGGGAGTCGGTGTGAGAACCAGTATTCAACAGCAATATGATTTCTTCTTGGCTTTTGAACTCTCCTGCTATGTCCTCTAAGGTGTTCCGACCTAGTGGGACGGAAAAGAGAGAATGGGTCAGGTCCGTAGTCATTATTTAAAATCTTAAACATTGTAATTAAATCTCTCTGCCTACGGTATGACAGAGAGAAGAGATTTAAACTTTCTAGTCTTTCCTCGTATGATGAATTAGTCATGCCGAGAACCATACGTATTGCCTTCCTTCGAACCCTTTCTAGAATATGTGAGTCCCCTCTAAGACAAGGATTGGGTGCCTGGATAGAGTTTTCTAGTCTTGACCTCACCAGAGATGTATACAACATATCTCTTGTGATTTTAGTGAAGTCTCTGCGAATTGCCCATAGGGATCTGAAACCACGTGCAGTCATCGTGCGACAGTGTGTTGTAGTTTTTAAATCGTGACTTACTATGACTTCTAAATCTAAATGAGTTTGAACTAATGGGAGTGTTATTCCCTCTAGTTTGTAGGAGCTGGTGCTTGCGTATCCGATGCGCATAGTTGCACATTTCGCTACATTGATGGCGAGAATCCATTCTCTGAACCACTGAAAATTTGTTGAGGTTCTCTTGCAACGCGAGCATATCACTGTTGCCCTTGGGCTCTCTCCAGATTTTTAAGTCATCTGCGTATAGGACCATAGGGGAATCGGTTAACAGAGATAATTCACTGATATACAAAATAAATAGGAGAGGTCCGATTACCGTGTCTTGTGGCACTCCGCCACGCACTGCTGTCCAGGAGGAGAGTTTCGGGTTGGTCCTATCCGTCTGCCTCCTATCATATTATTTGTAGAAAATTAGCTTACCATTTACCTATCTACAATTCATTACACTGCGTTACTGAAATGTGTTTATGTAGCTCATGCATCTATATACATATATGTATATGATATTCGGAGTTATTTTGTATGTATCATTATGGTTTATATACCAGTACTGAATTGAAGTGATTAAATTAAAAAGTATTGCATCACCCCAGTTGTTATTGAATTCCGAGCTATATATACAAGTTCAGACACTCGTTGATTGCACACTTTTAAGCATTACTATGATTGAATTTCATCACTTGGGACTATAGATGATTAGAGCATTTTTAAAAGATATTTTACACCATCTAGATATTAATTGATTTATAGGTAAATTATACCTTTTACTTTAGCCTGATGTTCCGAATAACTGGCAGCAATATCATTCACAAACGAATTCGACGGAGAGTTATATGAAATCCCAGTCCTTGAATGTGTGTTCATTGCAGCCTGAAAGCGAATTGTCTTCTATTCATCCAGTCACAGAAGCGGATTTAGAGGAAAAAGTAGATGATCAAAAGACAATGAACATAGAGTCTGCTGTTCTTTATGAGGATGGTGAGATTCAGGTTAGTCTATATGAATTGTTCACTTTAGTGATACTGTGTAATCAGAATAGTCGATTCGTTTATATAGTCATTCCAAACAAATGCGATAAATGCTAGAGTATTACACAAATATTATCACACTAGTTTTCGACTTTCAACTTTAACTATTAAGATTTTTAAGACTTATTAGATTAATGTGGTATGGTTCATGAGTTTCGATTTTGCTTTTGTTATTTTTTTTCTATGACTTCAAATGTCTTACTGTAATAAGTAAAAATGGAACGAAGAAACCGAAGACTTCAAAATCACCGTTAGGGAAAGTTTTTTTCTGCATCATACACTATACTTGATCATTTTACTTATTCAGCATTTCGTACGCCTTAATCGACAGATATTGCGTTAAGCCAAGTTATTTTTTAGAATAAATTAAGTCGACTTATGCCCTGTACATAGATTTGTGCTTAGGTATGAAGCTAGAAGACTGTTTTTTTTAATAACGAGTTACTTAAATAAATACAGATATGGGTTTGCAGAGATGATTTCTGCAGATGAATAAATCATCTGTAGCAATTTGATCAGGTGTGTCACCATTGAGCACGTTCAAGGGAGTGTGCATCACATTTCATGAACAGGCGAAGGAAATATAAGATCATCACTCTACACTTTGTTTGTAATCCATATCTGATTCTCACTAAACTGTGCGTTGAAAACTGCTTAGCTGGCTTAGACCTTTAGTATTCTCAAATTCATAGCACCAGGTTGATCAGTATGGATATAGCAGTACATACTTGTTTGAAAGGAACAATAAAGTATAATTCCATAATGGATAAGATTTTATTTTGATAAATCACACATTGTAGTACAGTTATATTAACTGATGACGTTTCGAGCACAAACTATTGCTCATAATCATATCAAGTTACTCACACAACTTCTTTCCTTCATTTATATACATGACATGTATATATATATATATACATATATATATATATGTATATATACATGTATATATATATGACATGTATATAAATGAAGGAAAGAAGTTGTGTGAGTAACTTGATATGATTATGAGCAATAGTTTGTGCTCGAAACGTCATCAGTTAATATAACTGTACTACACTGTGTGATTTATCAAAATAAAATCTTATCCATTATGGAATTATACTCTACCACAGTGCCCAAGTCTTATACTTATAACAATAAAGTACTTAAGCTTCATGAGGCATCTCGTTCAGACAGCTTAGCCACGACTTTTCATAAAGGTTGAAGCAAAACTATGGTCAATAGACTGTTGAGGAAGGTGTAGGGGATGAATGCGTAATGAAGTAGTTACTGCGCCTATCTTTAAAAATGGCTTACATAATATGTGACAACTTTCAAGCCATTAATTCTTTATTGGTTACGTTGGAAACCCTCTTCTGACATAAATCTCACCATAAAAAGCAGGACAGCCTCTCCATCTTCCTGCAGACGGACTTGTCAATACATCATTTCGGTACTATCGCTTTTGTTTCCTGGATGTTGAGTATACAAACTAAAATATTTGTTAGATCCATTCGTGGGACTAATTCATCCTATAGTGATTGTTCTATAAACTGAGTGGCACATTTGAATACAATTCCAACTATTAAATTTACTATTTCTGAATGTACAAGTTTTGTCGCAGCTGTGAAATAGCTTATAGTTCAGCGATACTTAGTAAGCTGGAACTAATCAGAACTTTAATCATCTGAAATGATTTTGAAACGATTGTGGCGACTTGAACTGCCGCACATATGTGCAAAGTTCTATGTCGAAAACAGACAGACAGACATAAATGATTTTGAAACATCAGTTTTACGGCCATTATGTATCGAGTGTCGAGCGGTTGCATTTCTGAATACTTTTGCTCCAATTTACACGTACGTGCCAAGGTACATGTGTCGGATGAACAGGACACGTATATTCCTTTCATCCAAAATACCCAGTCGCAAAATATATCCCAGAGATTTTATTCACATATGAAGGTTAAGGGCAGTTTGCTCGTAGAGCATTCTGCAGTAAAATGAAAACATCTCACTATCATCCGGTCAAAATGGCACACAGTTGCCCAATGCTTTACCTACTGCTTTTTGTGAAACCGATCGGATTCATTAATGTGAGATGAAGTTTATAAATCGATAGTCTTTGGTTATTCGTTCTTCTGATTATCCCTTAATTACTTTTAAGATGCTGGGTGTGATAAACCGGATGGCTACACAGTTAAAATGTGGTTTCATCTCGATATTGTATGTCCACTAACAGTAGTTATTCTTTAAAGTTTTGAGGCTTATCATTCCATTCCTCTTTTCATAGGATGTTGACTACGAGGAAATATCGTCTAATGAGGAATTGTTTTCAGAAATAGAAGATGGTGAAAATCTAGAGGTAAGCAATTGTCATATGTTAATATTCTGTATGCATTCAAGTGTTTAGAATGTATTTAAGCTGAATAAAGTTACAGGAGTGAACTATGTTATCAGTCTTCTTTTGTTTGCAGTAGTTATAATAAAAATGGAATTGTGTAATGTTTCCATAAAGAAGTTAACACTTTTGTATGGAGATATCCTACAGACGGTATCTTCTTTTGAAAAGAGTGAATGTAATGGGGAATGAAGGAGGATCCATATAAGATGGTTATTGCATAGTGTGGTATGATACATCTGTAACTAAAACGTGGGAGCTAGGAAATACTGAACAACAGAATTTAGTGACTTGGGGGTTGGCTTGTTACCAGTTAACAGTCCCGTCGATTTAGAGTATGCAAATGATGTAGTCCTTCTGGGTAAAAGAAGCTGAAAAAATGCAGTTTTGTAAACACCTTCATCAGAAATCTTATTATGGTGATCTAATCATCCCCTGTCAAATGTCAGATGCTGTGCACAGACTCCTGGTTTAAAGATAGTACATGAATTGGCTGAGTGCCTTGCTCACTTCACTTGTTTGGGAAGTTGTATTGACCTTAATGAACTGATTGCTGATGAAATCTCATCACGGGTAAAAAATGGCTCTTGTGGCAATCACCAACTCACTTTATCTCTGGTGCAGCAGGTGTGTAATGTGTAGAAGTTCTCTCTATCTTCTTTTATGATCATGAGGTATGGTTATTAAAGTGGAAGATATGAAACGGTTAGCTGTCTTTGGCTAAAGACGTTTGTGTTCTATCTCCCGTATTGAGTGGTATAATATGGTGAGTAATATTGAGGGTAGGCGTAGACGGGTAGTTATAGATGGCATATAAATCGATGCAATTGTGAAGCTACATAAATTGAGATGGCGTGAAGGACTTTTCGTGCATGTCGAGCCATTGCCTTCTTCAATGGGCATGCTAGCTGACATAGGATCATGTTAGAAAAGTATTATGGGTGGTCGAATTCCAACCTGACATCAGCCAATGAAGTCTTTGACCATTGGTTCGGACCAGCCAAGTAGGGGCATACCTAGCTGGCTGGGGTTCTTGAAACTCTTAGAATGAATGGTCGCAGATTGCTGGTGACATGCTTCAAAATCGTTGACAATGGTACAGACGTATTCACTTTCTATGGATTCCCAAATCCATCACATTCTCATTATTCTCCGTGTACTTATTCTTTCTTCCATAAATTTAGGTCTATTTTAGTTCCTTTGAAGTTTTTTTTCTATCTTAGTATGGCAGCTTAAACTGCTACATTCAATAAGTGGATCAGATATAGACCACCAATCAATTGCGCTTTAGGACAGATGATTGTATAACACAATTCAAAACCATAAAGAGGTTGACATTAAACAGTTTACATCCCAATCTTTAATTAAAAATCTCTATTATTTCAAATTGCAAGTAGGTAAAGAAAAAGGGACTTGTAAAAACAGCAGCACTGACAACTAGCTAGGAAGTGTTTGAAGTTAAATATAGGCTAAAGCTGTAAAGATCAGTGATGGAGTACACTATATGTAGTGAATCTGTGTGTATATTATGTATCATTAAATTTCCATCCTTCTTTCTATAGTAGTACTCTAGCTTGTATTTGAAGGAGGTACTCTCTATAAGGCTTATGTAACAGGATTTCTATAAATATTTAAACTGGTGAATATATCTGGATTAAAGTATAGTGACAACATTTTCCTCACGTGTCTCATTTTAGTTTTCTTTATTCTTCCTAGAAGCAATAACTACGAGGTGTATTGGGTGCTGAAGCTTTAGACAGTGGGATGTTTTATTCTGTCAAGCTTGTTGAGCAAACCAAGGCTTTTACTATATAGTCTGCCTCTCACCTCAAACATTAGTTCCCATTGTAAGGACAGTAGAGAAAAATTGGTCTAAGAAATAGGTGTAAGAATGAAGTCTAATATTTTCCTGCACAGTACATGACAGCTTCCCTTTAAAGTGCCTTGGAGAAAAACAGTATAGACTGTCTTTTTGGAATACACGAACTGAAATTTCGATCAATGTCTTAGTATTTCCAGGCGTTTATTTGTAATGATTTAGTTTGTTTCACGTCTGATCACGGATCAATATCAGTTAGAGAAACAACGATTGAGAACCAGGGAGAACTGGACACCTCTTTCGTCCCAGCTTTGGATTCATAAGCAGTACGCACCCACCGGGTTTCGAACCCAGGACCTCCCGGTTACAAGGTAAGCATGTAGACCATTCAGCTACTGGGACTCGACTCATTGGTTCATGAATTCTGACTTCTATCAATTCGCGATTTTTGCGTGACAACCAGCCAATGTCATTGGCAAGTATCTTCCCTTACTACCGATTGGACCTGGCGCTGAAATCACGAATTGGTAGAAGTTAGAATTCATGGACCATTGAGTCGGGTCCCAGTAGCTGAGCTTACCTTGTGACCGGGAGGTCCTGGGTTCGAGACCCGGTGGGTGCGTACTGCTAATGAATCCAAAGCCAGGACGAAACAGGTGTCCAGTACTCCCTGGTTCTCAATCGTTGTTTCTCTAACTGATATCAATCCGTGGTCAAATTTGAAATGTCAAATTAATTATCAGGCTTTATATGATTTCTTGTGTCGTACTTCTCTAGCCATCTGTTGATAAAGGTACCGTTCTTAGTTGGAAAAATCGTGATTAATAGTGTCTGGTATTTCTAGCATTATAACAGTAAGAATTGGTTATTTATAGTGCTAAGTATGAATGTTATTCCCTTAACTTTTCTGTTCTAAACTCTGTTTTCTTAATTTTTGTCTTCAGATTGGTGATCATCAGTCAGATGTCGAAGAAATTAGAGAGATTGAATCTCATATTTCCTCCTATCAATGGCGTTTTAATCCATTTGATTTAATAAATCAGTATTCTAATGTATTCTCTTGTGACTTTCGTAGAATCGCAGATCCCACAATCACCTTATTCGAGGTAAGCAGTAGTAAATGAAGTCTTTAATTTCATTTCACAACGTTTTCTTTTCTTTTTAACCTGTGGCTCAGTGTTTTACCAATCGAAAGATCGTGCATTTTAAAGCCTGTTCACTTTCTAGGTGTTTTGCTAGTTCCATATAGTATGTGTAGATGTATATATATAGTAGTTTATTTTTTAAAACATTTTTAGTAGATAGTCCCATTGATAGGTACTGGTTCTTTCTGACTTTTATTAACTACCAGTGTTTGTTTTCATCCAACCTAACCGTTGTTTAGTTAATTTAACTATATCGCTATATAATGGATGCATTTGATTGTGAAAACAGATTACTTAATCTTCATTAAGCTACTTTTATTCAATTGGTTGGAGGATTTCATCATGAGCTGGCATCTGTTAGAGAACCATTGGAAAACCTGGGTGTACTGAGCAGCTGTTTCGTCCTAGTTCGGGACTCTTCAATAGTACGCACCCACCGGGGGTTCGAAGAGTTCAAAGAGTCCCAAACTAGGACGAAACAGCTGTTCAGTACTCCCAGGTTTTCCAATGATTCTCTAACTGATGTCAGATCATGATGAAATCCTCCAACCAATCAAACAAAATCTCTACAAAACCAATAATTTTATTCAAGACAAAATTCGCCACACAAAGAATCCAGATGGAATGCATAAGAAAGTGTAAAATGTGAACACATTAACCAGAAACACTAAAAAGAGGTTTGTCTACTTCATATTACTCTTTGAAGTAGATAGGAAAAGGAATTTGCAATAGCATGTCCGATATTGATTACATTTCAGGGCCGTATCTAATAAGGACTCTAGCCACTAAGTTGCATGATCGATGGAATGCCGTCCACTGAGTCCTGATGCAGCGACTGGTGCTATCGCGAAACAATCATCCTTTATATCGTGGCATCATATCATGGTTTTACTTTTTTCAACCGCTTACAGAGTAAGTGAACAATGAGTTATGGAAATATTACCATGAGAACTGTAACACATATTGAAGCCACACTATGGCAGCACTTATCGAAAAGCTATCCAAATAAATACTGTCCTATTTCAGAATGACTTACACTTCAATACGAGTGGATGTAAATAGTTCTATGTGGAAAGCGATGATTGAGTGCACAGACTTGTCACATACCCTCATCTGAGGGACACCAAATTTAATAGGTAGAAAGTGTACATAGAGGAGTTGTAAACCGTAAATTCGACAACCAGTCTAACACTATGACTGCTTGATAGGCGATATAGATTGGCTTATGCCTCTGTGACTTTTGCTGTACACTTGTAAACTTCATCTATCCTACCTGTTCTAACGCTAACACAAAAACTAAATCCACTAACTTTTTAGACTACTTCAGGCAGTTCATCCGCATGGGTTAGTTCGGTTGAAGACTCTCGTAACAGTACTTAACAGACGTCACACTTATTGAGACTGGTAGTCAGCTGGCTAATTGAGGTTTTAGCAGCTTGTGTGTTATCGCACAGTAAGGTGACATTTTCAAAGTTCATTAGTTTTTCTCTGATGATATTTCTGGTCCACAGGTGTTGATACGTGATTGTATTCCTTCACTCTGTTTGATGTGATGTTTTATGGGGATTTCAGAAATTTCTCAGTGATACCAGTCTCTAACATACAATTTTAGATAACAGTCCACACCATATGCATGTTCTGATCACTAGGCCCAACGTAAACCTTGTTTTACCTTGTGTAGGAGGCTTGCATAGGTTACTGTATTTACTGTAAGTTAGAAGGGATCAATGGTCTTCAGGGGGTTTCAAGGAAACCATGTAAGTATGATGTTCTTCACGGAGTCGCCTCCTGACCATACGCCCTTTTACTTACCATCTTTAGTGATTTGTAAATTCAGTCAGTGTTCATCTATATATCCTGAAGGGTGAACAGGTTTCCTTGAATCTAAGTTGGTCCAGTGTTTAACTGCAGTAGTAGTTGCAACCAAATAACGTGCATTTGTTTGGAGTGATGATTAAAAAGCGCGAAAGAAACCTAGCACATATTACAACATTATGAGAATCCAGGTAAATGCTTCAAAAGGAGTGCCAGTTGTGTATGAATAAACCCACGTCATCGTTGGCTGATGACATTATGGTCTATGTGAATGTGATCATGAGTGAGGCTGGGTTTACAGAATGATCATGAAGGTGCCTCAAGTTAGTACTGACTAGATATAGGTTGTAAACTGCAGTAAGTTGGGAAGATGGCCCCCAATATTTGATCCAGTCACTTCAGTGACTCAGTGACACTAAAAACTCGACTTGTGCATTCAGGTCTCCAGCTGGTACCACGATTTTTGTTGCCTTCACATGGTTGAAGTCGCTCGTTTGATTGCAGAATAAATCCTTCATTGCATCACGGTTGCTCAGGCAAAGTTGACGAGAAGATAGCACTTCTATGACTTGTTATGTCTTGCACTTATGTGGCCTTCTAACTTAACAGAAAATAAACAACTTTTAGTGGAGATCCATTCAAGCAATGTAGCTTCGGTTGTAGATCTCAGTGTAGTACTGATACCAGCTTGGCCACATACTGATGTCCCATGGTCCGCTCATAAGTACATCTAGAGCTAACGTGTAGAGAATTTATTTGTAGCACATCACTGGGATCTTGTATACAGATCTTTGAGATATATCATACATCATTTGAATGTCTTGTGAGGTTCCTGAATAAGCCTGTCTGTCGTCTGATATGCATCCCTGTGCTCTATGTGCTGAAGACTAGGTTTCCGAAACCCGTTGTCTAGCGACTTAAAATACTAGTGCGTCGGTGACGCAGTGGTTATAACGCTCGCGGACCATGCACATGATCCGGGGATCAATCCCCGATCGATGCATACCCGATATCAATGGTTGGCCTGCTGAATTCGATATCACGTGCTGAAAATTCCATATTTGTGGAGTCCAGCTATAATAAAATAAAAAAGTAAAAAATTCCAAACAAGAGCATGCAGCTTGCAAAGACAAAGATAATAACAGACGTAAAAGTGATAAAAATGAAATAAAACTTCTCTTGCAGACGGATAACAATAAAAACAAGATAATACTAGTGAGTATTGTAGAATGTTGCTTAATGTTCATGTAGTGTAGTCTTAAACAACAAATGCTCTTATTGTATACCATAACAGCAAGTTAATGAATCTTTTCTTGTTTCACTTGTGTGACTAGCTTCATTGTTGGCTGTTGGAACAAAATGCCTCCAATAAGGATCAATTATTTTCTGAAAATGAACCGTTTAATCGAAATCCTGATGAACTCGAAGTAGAATCGAACTTAAATTTATTACCACCTCCAGATGACTGGGCAGATGCAAGTCAGTCTGCAGAGTATCTCATTGAGATGACGAAGAAATATTGTTCTTTATCGACTGCAGGTTTTCATGAAGAGTAAGTCGCTTTCTCTCTCTCTGCATATATATGTACATATCATTTTCATCACTCAACTTTTCAAGCGTTTGATTGTATATTTATTTATCTACTCTATTTATTACTCTGAAAAAGCTGTCTTCTACTGTTAGTGCATACAAATCCTTCTCGTAGTTTGCATAGAACTGTTTCATAGGTCAAAACGTTATTATAGACTTAGGATGTCATTATACCTTTTTACTACATTGTATTGCTTCTTATTGTTTAATAGTGACAGATACAACATTTGATTGCTGTTACTAGTCTGCATCGTTAGACCGATAGGTATGATACTTTTGGAAATGGAAACTGTTTCAGAAACTTTTATTATTGAGATGTAAAGTTAAGTTGACTGAAGTGGTTAAGAAATCGTGTAACTCATGCCTTCCTGATCAACCGATGTTAGCTGACAATTTTTGAACTCTTTCACTATTTAGTGTGGGGAGGTGTAGACTTTGTACCTATTTAAAGAAGTCATCGGGATGCTAAGAACCAATGACTTTAGACTGTTGGTGATATAATTCACTGGCGCAGATGCATTCATTCTTTGTTGTCGCTTGCATCCACTAAACTGTAATACTGTCCGTGTTATTATTCACTCACCCACCCATTTCTTTCGAATCTCTTTTCTCTCTCTTCTGTCTACCTTGTATCGACCAACGGGCGTGTGTACTGCTCATCAGTCCGCTCCGTCCTCCTTCATGGCTGTGAGACCTGACCATTGAGGGCGGAAGACATGAAAAGATTAGCTGTCTTTGATCATAGGTGTCTGCGTTCTATGTCCCGTGTGAAGTGGCATAATAAGGTGAGCAATATTGAGGTTAGGCATCGAGTGCTAGGTAAGGAGGGGAAATCAGTCGACGAGACTGTGAAATTGCATCGACTGAGATGGTTAGGATATGTGTTACGGATGTATAGTCATCGCTTTCCTCGACGGGCAATGCTAGCTGATATAAGGTCAGGCTGGAAAAGAGCTAGCGGCGGTCAAACGAAAAGATGGCACCAGTCAATGAAATCCACAACAGTTAGTCTAAGCCACGTGGGAAGGTGTAGACTTCCTGGTTGGGGTCCTCGGGACGGTAAAAACCAATGGTTGGAAACAATTGGTGACATGACTCAAAATCGTTCTCAATGCCTGGCGCAGATGCATCCACTCCTTGTGACTTATGATTTCCAATGAAACTGTTTTGTTCTTCGTTATTGCTATACCTTTGTCTCACACCTCTGTTTACTGTCTCTATTATGCATTTCTCCTACTTTCTTCTCTTACTTTGTGTGCTACAAGGAGGGAGTGTGGCGACTTTAACTGCCGCACGTTGGTGCATTACTAGCTGATATAGGTGCAGGTTGGAAAAGAGTAAGTGGTGGCCAAACAAAAACATGGCCTCATCAATCCATGAAATCCCTGACAGTTAAACTGAGTCAGATAGGGAGATGCAGACTTCCGGGTTGGGGCCCTCGGGACTCTAAGAATCAATGGCTGGAGACAATAGGTGACATGGCTCAAAATCGTTGTCAATGGCTTACGCAGATGTATTCAGTCTCTTTAACCTTCATATTCCTTTCTACCATTACTCATTCTGTTTCACTCTTATATTTATCTAAATTCTATTGATTCTCCTCACTCATTTTCCTGTCTACCTTTGTGTGCTATTTGGAACGTGGCAACTCGAACTGCTGCACTCCGGTGCCAAGTTCTATGTTGAACCCAGCAGCAGCAGCAGCAACGTTGGTGCAAAGTTCTATGTCGAAAACAGACAGACTACCTTGTATGCTACATGGAAGTTTGGCAACTCAAAGTCATCAGACAGAAATAGGGCACTTTCTAATGGCCTATGAATATGAAAAAAAACAATCATTAAAATTCACCTCTTTTTGTAATTTATGGTCTGAACAAAAGTCTGTTGTAATATGAACCCACAATTCACAAATGGTACATTAGATCCGTTACCGTAAACCTGTCTGCAACAACAGCAGCCTTAGTTGAAGCATAACCAACTAGTGAAATAAGTAGCTTATGTCGCTTGAATTGCAAAAAAAATTCAAATTTTATCTAACTTATAATTGTCATAAGGATTGAAGTTGTTGAATCTCTACAAAAATGTTTGTGTGGCGAAGAATATAATTATGAGATTCAATAGAGCCACTGATATTTGATTGTGAACATTTAACCAACAATTTAGGAGAGCTGATTAACAACAATTGATAGTAAAGACAATACGTGATAATGTAGGTTCCGTTGAAATTATGTACATTGACACTAAGATGTTCAATACTAAATGAAATCGCTTATTGACAAAAGTTAGAATTTATCGACTGGGCATTAGATTCCATTTCAGTGGTTTTGTGGTCAACGAGCTTGCCTTGTAACCCTAGGGTGTCAAGTCTAATCCCCGATGAAGTCATGGGTGCGTGCTGATGAAGAGTTCCAAAGTAGGACGAAATAGCTTTCCAGTACTCCTCGGTTATCAATGTTTCTCCAACTGATATCAAACCTCGATCAAACTTGAAACCAATCATATTCCTACAAGTTAACACTCTGAATAAAACTAGTGTTATTCTGTTCTTGAGTTACAAAGTTCACCAATTGTCTCGAATGTACTGTTACTTCACTGCAATAAATTTGAATGAGACATTTGCATGTGCTTAGGTCCTTGAGTATTATAAGATTTCTGTCTTGTACAAATATATACTTGTTTCTAAGCAATAATGATTATTTCAATATTAAATAATTTATTTTAGGTGGATTGATTGTCTTGAAAATATTGGTACTCATTTGCCCCAAGGTCTGGCCTTCTTATACTGTACTGACCGAAATCTATATCAAGGTACAGTTTACTTTATTAAAACAATTTGAGTTGGAAAAATTAATCTAAAGAGTTTTATCTGAAATCCTTGAGTGTACCGGTTTTATTCTAGGTTCAAGCAACTATTACGTCGCATCATCCTCGAGAGACTGAAAGATGCTGTTGATGCAAGACTCCGCTCGAAACAAGCTGAATGCAGGAAAAGCAAGTTATTTGCAGATCAAATTGCAACTCTACGTGTCATTATCGAACAGAGCATAGAGTGGCAGTCAAATCTCCATCTTAGCTTCATCGACTTTTAAAATGTGTTCGAGAGTGTTGACCGCGAAGTGATTTGGAAAATACTTCAGCATTACAGAGTACTCCAAACCTTTGTGAACTTATGTCAAGTGTCGGACGATGTCGAAGTGTCACAACGGGAAACTCAGATAACTTTAGAGTGAAGACAGGCTTAAAAGAAGGTGGCATACTAGTGTCAGTGACATTCCTAATTGTCATAGACTGCAACATGCAGTAGGTTTTGGGGGGGGGGGGCGTGAAGACAGGAATATGTCGGACTGACAAGAAGACTCTAGGAGATTTGAACTCCATAGACTATTCATGTTTAATGTCACACGAACTGGAGGATCTACAGGCGAAAATCAAGAATTTGGCAGAAGAAGAGTCGAAGACAAGTGAACATAGAGAAGACAGAGGCGGTAAAGATACCTGGTGACTAACAATAATAACAAGCACCAATCACTATCAGTAGGAGAAATCTAAAAGAAATCTTCTCAGTTATCTAGACGGCATCGTTTTAACTGTATACGACGGAACGGTTGAGGATGTCAAAGCCAGACAGAATCGATAAAGCAAGATAACCCCCCACTACTAAGTGTGGAAGTCTTCTGCGCTCAGCGTGAAGAACAAGATGCAAACCTTCAACAAGTCAGTGCTTCTATAGTGTTGAAGGAATTGTCATGTACGCTCACCAAAAGCATTTCGAACAGGCTTCAAGCGTGTAACACCAGTCACCTTCGTTCCACACTGAAGATCAGATGGCGGGCCAGAAAGGATTAGCAACAAGGAACCAACCAAGAAATTGTTAACCAACAAATATTGAGGGGGGGGGGCAATAGAGATGGAAAGGACACGTACTGAAGAAACCATTGAGAGACATCGCGCGCCAGGTCGTCGAGTAGAATACGGATAGGAAAAGGGAGAGTTTAGCTTGGGTCCGTGTAAGGAGGAGATGATATCTTATGGGCATTCGTGGAGCCAGCTAATGACGACTGCAGAGGGCAGGATGAAATGAAGATGTACTGTTGATGCCATATGTTCCACTCGAAACCTGATGGAATAATAATCTAATGATAATGAGTCTAGGTTCCTCCTTAAAGACTTAACTCTCTGTACTGTTTAAAAGGTAGAAATGGTGTAAGACTATGAGTACAACAGTATGGAAAAACTGACTTATGTCTTGTTACTGAGGTCAGCCCTTAAATTAATCTGCTTTTAACGTCAGCCGTAGTTTTTCTGGCTGTTTGACCGTTAATCCATTTGTTTTTGGATTCATTTTCTCTGGTGTATCTATAATATACTAGGATCTTATTCGATTGATTATCATTGGTTTAGTCCAGTGGCTATAAAATGTGTGAGACCTTTATGACTTTATTCAAAGATATACTCCTATTGTGGTGAGAGCTGTCTACTAGCCAAATTGGTAGACAGTAATTTACGTCAATATTTACGTCCCCAAGATTTGTCGTGAGAAAATGTGAACAAAGATTGATTCAAAACCGACGACAGCAGACTTTGCGTAGGCGGATGCAGTTAACATATAGAGGATTTGACATTCAAGAAACAGTCACAAATAGATGAAAGATTAACTTTACGTGAGAAACAACCAATCGGAAGACTGTGTTTGTTTCTTTAAATAACCATAGTGATGTACATGAAATATATAAATATGCGTTGATTTCCATAATAAATGATCTGTTGCCTGACTCTTGCCTTCTGTCGTTACACTATCACTTGAGTATCGTTATATGAAATCTTATGTCGTCCGTATTATAGCTTCAATAACTGACCTGTCTCAGTTGATAAGGGAAATCTTTTGACAAATTATACCAATATAACTAGTTCATGCTATCTGTTTAGTTTAATTGTGTTTTTTCCCGTTGGTTGATTATATTAGACGGAAGTATTCTTTCTCTGTTGATATGTGGGCTTTTAGTACGGATGCTTCAGCATCATCTGGGGAATTACATGTTATTCGGTGGATGGTGACTAGCAGTGGAAGTCAGGATGCGCATTTCGTTTTATTTGGGACTCGTCATCTGGATGTACGTGCATTTCTCACTCACTGGGAAATGCAGGTGAGAAATGCACGTGCATCCAGATGACGAGTCCCGAATATGACAAAATGCGCATCCTGGATTCCACTGCTAGTCACCATCCACAAATTAAATTTATTTATTTTGTTTATTTAGTTATTCTATGTACTTTTCCCTTATTACTACGATTATTATTATTATTATCATTATTATTATTACTATTCTCACTCTGAATCTTTTCCACTTGACCCACTTGTCAATCTAAATCCAAAATTATTAATCTTTATATTTATATTTTTACAATATTGAATTCTATCTTAACAAATTTCACACAATGTTATGTCACATTCTATATTCGCCTAATAACTCCATAATTATGCACCCCTTTCCAGCATCTATACACCTTATGTATTATTGTATAAATGACATTAATTGTTTTGCCACTTGACATTTAACTATGATTATAATCACAAATATTTTGATCGCACTTCATACTACTATTATTATTTCATGTATTCACACCGTTGATCTAATTCCCTCAACGGATATAATCTCTTAAAAACCATATGTATACGACTGTACAGCTTGATAATAAATTCGTAGGAAAGAGTCTCTTCGCTGAATATTGTGTTCTTAATTATATTTCTATTGTACAGTCCAGTATTGGGCTATTGAGTAGTAATTAACTAAAATCATACACTGTTGTACAGTAATATCTACTGAGGACGTATCGAGCACGAATTATTGCTCATAATTGTATCAAGGTACTCACATAGCTTTCTTGCTTCATTTGTATACATGAGCAAAACGGGAATTAGGGTGGCATTCAAACCTACAGACTAACTCAGAGACAAGCTCCATGGGCTAAAGGACCCAGTTGATCCAATTAAACAAAATAATATAATATACAAAATACCTTACAGTGACTGTGAGTTAAACTGTATAGGTCAAATTAATAGGTCGGGAGTAGCGAGATTGTCAGAACATAAGAATTTAGCTAAGGTTAGAATGATTGACCCCACCCGCGGAGGTAAATAATTTTAGCAATTGCACTGCATGCATTAACACACAACCACATCATAGGGTGGAAGAGGGTTAAAATTCTTAGAAGTAATATAGTTAGGTGGAGATAGAGAGAGGTTGATTACTGAACCCTGACTGGTTCATCGAGTCTACATCCAATACGTGCAGCAGGAATTGACTCATCACTCATACCGGAAATATGTAAAATACTACTACCAAATCAAGTCAAGCGATGAAAAACAATGGAGTTATATAAACGAAGCGAAAAAGTTATGTGAGTACCTTGATATGATTATGAGCAATATTTTGTGCTGACACTGTATAACACTGTGTGATTTTATCAGAATAAAATTTTATCCATAATGGAATTTTACTCTACCACATTGCCCAAGTTTCATCCCTATATCAGTAACTAACTAATTCACATAATTTTTTTGTTTTCCTCCTTATTAGCTGTCACTGAAACTCTTCTACTCTGGGTATACAGCGGTTTAAATATGGATTTAGCATTGAGTCAACCAAATGCTTCATACATAGTTAAGCATATTACAGTTGGTGTACATCTTGCTGGTCTTATGACCAGTACAACTACTTCAGAATTAGCTAGTGCTTTACTTTATCCTGAAACTTTGAAACATGATGGTAATGATTCAAGTAGTAATACACATATAGAAGGATTACAGGTTAGTTTTTACTAATAACAAATTCTTCTCTCTGTATTCATATCTATTTTTTCTCTTCAAATTGAGAAATATGTTTAATTTTTTAGATTATGTTGGAAAATTTATGACATAATGAGTGGTGAGAACATAAGTGTTTTAAGGTGTATGAAATAGAAATTTTCCACAAGATAATTTGCCAGTTGACATTTTAAGTGAATTTCACCAACTTGTGATTAGACTGCATTCTCAAGATGCCTTGGCAATGTACCATAACACCATTTAATTAGATGGAATTATGATTTATGTAGCGTGTGATAAACTGTATGGTCATCATGTTGAATGAATATAAACTAAATATGGAGTCAATATCTGAGAGCTTTTCGAATTTTTTAATTAAGCTATCTGTGAACTGTGCGTTTTATTAGTATCGTCACTTTTTACGACTTATGTACGCCAAATAGATCATGTGGATTTGTAGACAAAAGATGACCGTTTGTGAAGTCACTGAAAAAAACATTAGTCAGTTAGTTTTCCCTTTGTTCGTTACAAGGTTGGATGATCACGATATAACAGTGCCTTGTAACAGCATTCATGCATCATCTCAAGGTAATCTACTGTGGGATTAGTAAGAGGATCGGCTAGAGAACCACTAGGAAACCTGCATGCTGTAATGGACAACTGTTTCGTCCTAGTTTGGGAATCTTCATCAGCACGCACCCACCACGGGGGTTTGAACCCAGCACCTTCTGGTTAGAAGGCGAGCTAGCTCATAGACCATTAAGCCCATGGGACCCAATCCAATGGCCCATGAATTCTAACTTCTGCCAGTTTGAGGCATAGCGCCACCATTTCACAATGTTTTCGATGAGTAACTGTCCTCACCTTCGATCTGCTGTTCCTTATTGGTCATGACTTGTCACTAGAACCCCAGGGAACTGCCTGAATAGGACCAGTCACCAGTGAGCATCAGGTCAATTTTCAAGTTTTGGCGATGATAGAATCCTCCAACTAATCAAACATAATCCCTAGAAACCAAAATTTATCTACTGTGTGTCTGTACGATTTCATTTGAATAACATTTTTTAACGACATGATAAATTGTTGATAATCAATCACATGTTGCTAAATAACTTTACAGTTAACACAGATAAAATCACATAGTGTGATTATATATGCATGATATGACCGTACTTGTTCGTTTCGTTTAACTCGGTGTTTGATGTATAGCTCATAAAGCCTATTGGAAATTGCATTTTAGTCTGCCTTGTTTAGCCTTCCAACTGTCTTTTATGAAAGTTTCTCGAAGACATTATTATTATTAGTGTTGGCCTCAATATCTTATTTTAGTAGGAAACTATAGTAAGAATAAGTCACTGTCGAATATTGCATAGTGTCGACATTACCATTATTTCACTGACTTTCTCAGAGTTTGTTAAGAATGCGGGGACAAATTATTATTATTATTATTATTATTATTATTATTATTATGAATTGGATACTTACTGTCACTTTTCTTCATTAGGTGGTAAGTGTATATATTTGTATTTTCTTTGAAAAATGGTAATTCCTTAACAATATAGTCGTATCGCTTAAATTTAGGTATACCATTTCTATATTTTCTGGATATAGTCTACTGTAATGTCAGTGACCGAAATAACTTTGTCTAATGCATGCATGTTTGCAGTTGATTGTCAGAGAGGAGAATAGTATTCACAGAAAGAGCACTTCAGTGTGTTATCTTTTTGTTATTAAAAATACCCTCACTTTTTTCTCTCTTTAGGTTCAGCACCTGCTCTTAGATCTTTTAGAGTCTCCTTTAATTACAACGCCACTGAGACTTTCTGTTTGTCGTGCTCTAGATCAGACTACACGATTACCCATTGGTTTAAATGCTTTCTTAGGCGTAAGCCAAATAGGTAGTGATGAAAAAGTTGTTCAGAGTTGTACAGAGGAACCATTAAAGACTGAAGCAAATTCTGATGGAATGGATCAGTTTATCGGTATCACGAAGGGCAGTACAAACGATGAACAGTATAATGTTGAAGGTGAATTCAATCAATCCACTAAATTGGAACAAATTGATGACAATGATGATGTGGAAATGTTGGACAGACATTTATCATCTGATAGAATTCAGTCACCATATCAGCGCTTCATTTTCATTGTTAGCGGCAGTAAAGTAAGCCCATTTCAATATACCTATGACTTTATTCTATTGGTCATCCATCATTGATGTACTTAGTTTTCTTTTATATGTTTTCGACTGAATTCAATTCTTTGTAATAATTATTATGTTCAGACGATTGAAGAGAGAGAGAGAGAGAGAGGTTGATCAAGGTCTAGGTAAATGACTGGATTATGTGACTTTCATTTGATAGGTTTAACTTTTTTTGGCTTTGACAAAACAGGGTATTACCCATAGCGTAACGTATTCAGCAACTGAGTTCAGAGAAATGTCGCGAAAGGATATTCATGTGACTGCGTTTTATTTTTTCTCTGTTCAAGATGGTCGTAGCATTTTCGTGGAAGAGGAGGGGGGCGGGTTGTAAAGATGGTTGTGGAGCATAAATTAGGGTCCAGCTGATTTATATTATCTCACCCCTCTCTTAGTTTTCATCATGTTCAATATTTGCAAGGTAATGAAGAAGCTACTCAAAAAACTAATAAACACTTGTGTACTACGTAGTGAATCGTGTTTGATATGAACGGGCTTTTTATACTATCCGGCTATATCCTACACTAAACCTACATTAATCTAATGAAACTTATTTGCTTTAATCGGTACAACTAGTTTACTTTCATTGTGGATCATTTTTGGTTTTATTTACTGATTTTTAATAGGTTCGTAGCTACAGTAAGTTATAAATGACATTGTGTCAGTTCAGATGAATTCTTTGATTTCATATGAGAATGCCTACCGAGATTTGGGGAAAAGAAATAGTTCCGTTTAACTGACATAAATCATTGGTTATCCCACTGTGTAACAGGGAGAGATAAGTCTTCGTGCGGTAATCACAAAGTAATCAGCTTCATTAATATAGCACCTAAAGTTCTAGCTTCATTAATCATGCTTAGATCAAGTGGTGCTCAAGAGGAACATACCCGAGAAAACCTGTTACCCTTCACGCGCCATAGGGATGATGTATTGATGTAGTATCTTTACTCTTGGACAGATTCTGGAACATAGTAGCCATACTTACTGGCGTCCAACAATTGCCATATTTCTTTACCTGAAGGCGGAATTCGACTCTATCGACCGAGGGGTACTGTACCAGTGTCTGGCCGTGAAGAGAGTACCAAGGAAGTATATCACACTTATTAAGGTATTAACTGTACTTGAACTCTCATAGCCGTGTTAGGGCTTACAGAGACTTGTCAACCGAAGTGATGACGACCAGTGGTGTCAGTCAGGGATGTCCATTATTCTCAAATGTGTTTAATTCATCGTAGATGTGTCAATGAATGCGACCCTCCTTCTCTTTATAGATGAAGACGCTGACAAAGTGCTAAGTGTTACTGAACACCTTGGGCAGAAATCTTTGTATTTTTGGTATGCGATTCATATCTGGCATAGGTGTCATGTCCCTTCATCGATCAAATGATGTGCGTACTGCTCAGCAGTTCGCTCTGTCCTCCTTCATGGCTGTTGAAATTGGAAGATATGAAAAGGGTCACTATCTGTGACCACAGACGTCTGCGTCTTATCTCCTGTGTTAAATGGTATAAATATGGTGAGTAATACTAAAGTTAGGCGTAGGATGTTAGGTAAGTAAGTAAGTAAATCGATAACATTATGAAGCCTTATCACTTGAGATAGCTAGGACACTTGTCGCACATGTTGGGCCACCGCATTCCTCGATGTGAAATGTTAACTGATCTAAAATTAGGCTGGAATTTTTAGCTGATTGTTGTTTCTTTTCCGTCAAAAGTTTTATTTTTTCTTATTTTTGGCGTTTAATAATCTGACTAAAAATAGCTCATATTAATACATAAAGTTAGTATTTGTCTCGCTGTCAAACTTTTGCCAGACATTTTTTTTCCATCCAATATTGATATGAAGAGAGTAGGATGATAGAACTGTTGTTGTTATAAATGCTTAATCTTTTCCCCTTGATAATTATACAAACAGTGCCTGCTTTTTTCTTCTTTCAGAACTCTCGTGTAACTGCAGCGTATGAACGATTGTTAAATAAAGTGCATACATATGAACTTCTTTCTGGACTACGGGATTTAGTTAACCAGTAAGCTTTAAGTATTTTTTAGTTTAACTGATGATGATAGTGCCATATAGACACAATGCGGTATATATATATATATATCATATGTGTTTTTTCGGCTCTCCGTGAATCGAGGTTGAAAGTGGCTAAAACTGCCCAATGCATATCGAGATGCTGGCTGGCTGGCTGGATTCAACATAGAACTTGGCACCGAAGTGCACCAGTTCCAGTTGCCACGTTCCAAATAGCACACAAAGGTAGACAAGAAAATGAGTGAAGAGAATCAATAGATTTTTGACAAGTGTAGGAGTGAAACAGAACGAGTAATGGTAGAAAGGAATATGAAAGACTACAGAGACTGAATACATCTGCGTAAGCCATTGACAAAGATTTTGAGCCATGTCACCTATTGTCTCCAGTCATTGATTCTTAGAGTCCTGAGAGCCCCAACCCGGAAGTCTGCATCTCCCTACCTGACTCAGTTTAACTGTCAAGGATTTCATGGATTGATGAGGCCATGTTTTTGTTTGGCCACCACTCACTCTTTTCCAACCTGCACCTATATCAGCTAGTAATGCCCGTCCGTCGGGGGAGGCGATGGTTAGGTATGCGCAGCACATGACCTAGCCATCTCAATCTATGTAACTTTGTAGTCTTGTCGATTGATTTTCCCTCTTTGCCCAACACTCTACGCCTAACGTCAACATTACTTACCTTATTATGCCACCTAACGTGAGAAAGAGATCGTAGACATCTATGATCAGAAGCAGTCAACATTTTCATGTCTTCAACTCGTATTGGCCATGTTTCAGAGCCATAGAGAAGGACGGAGTAAGGATTAGAGAGGTTTCGCGTACACTTCGGATTGTAAGGACGATTGTTACTTCCCGGCTGCCCACACCGTGGAAGTTGGTTGCGTGACCGCAGAGCCCAGGGGACAACTGCTTGAGGCCAGTCACACACGGCCTGCTTTTGTTTGTTGTTTTTAATTGGGTGTGTCTCAGTAGCATATTTATCACTTCTGCCCTGTGACACAGCAGCAGGAAGCGCGGTCGTTGTTAATCCGGTCCCCGACCGATCCGGTATGATATTTTGTGATTTACTTTGAGTCATAGCATTGGGTAACTGCTTTTAGTCTAACCGCTATCCAAACAACCTTTCTGGCATGGTAGGACCTACAGGAACATAAGTTCCAGCCGGTATAGCTTGTTGGGTCATTGCGGTGTTCAAGCCCGACCACCACGTCAAGGTAGCAGCTTTCGGTCGGGTATATCGAGATGATTTTAATAGAGACCTTCAGGATCAGTTGATTGGTGTTTGCTGTTGTTGTTGTTGTTGGCTAGATATCTTCATCACCTCTATCTTCTCTATGTCCACTTGAGGTCCTGTCTTCACCGCCTGCCTTTTCTGCCAACATGTTAGTTTTCACCCTTATATCTTTGCGTCGGTGTGACGTTTAAACACAAAACGTCCGTAAAGTTCAAATCTTCTGGAGTACTCTTGTCGGTCCAATGGTTACTTAATTGTTCTGTGCTTTGAGGTGTTTATGTAGCGATTTGATTGATTTTCTTGGTTAGGGTCACCAGTCCCTCTTTTTCCAGCGTTAGGATCGATTAGTAAAGCAGGTGGGTGAGATTTTGTGCTACTGAATCCCTATGCCCCACTCGGAACCCAAGAGGAGATGATATTGACTTACTTATTCCTAAGTTTTAATTTAATTATTGAAATATGCAAATGAACAGCATTTATTGTTTTTAGATTTCAGAAAATCGGTGAGCAGTATCTCAATGGAAATCATAATGATATACTCCAGATTATGGAATTGGAACAGACTTTAGTCAGTCGGTTAAGGAGGATAACACATATCTTTCAAAATGCTGAACAAATTATTGTAAGTCATTCTGATGGCGTTTATCATTTCACGAAATGTTGTAGATAAAAAAATTTTCTTGTCTTCAGCGCATGATGGGCATCTCTGGGACTCAATGAAATTATTCACCTGTGTTGGCAGCATAGCATTAGAATGCTGGCCAACCATGCAGGTGGTTCGGGGTTCGATCCCCGGCCACAGACGCACTCCTTTACCTCGGTAAACCAGTAATAAAACTAGTAAAGAAGGAAGGTTAGCCATAAGGCTAGCAACCCCATCCCGCAAAAATAAACACCACTGCTACCGAAACTTGAAGCCCTATGTTCCATTGAGAACGTAAAGGAACTTGATATGGTTATGAGAAATAGTTTGTGCTCGAAACGCCATCAGTTGATATAACTGTACAACACTGTGTGATTTCAGCAATTTGAAAATTCCCATTCAGTCATAGAAAGGAAAAGGCGTTCAGCAAAGAGTTACTCTTTTCGGCGATATCATTCTCAAGCTGTACAAACCGCAAATTTATAGTAATTTTTCTTGGTAACAAAAGGAATATTTCCAAAGATGTGTTAAATGCAATTGTTAATTTTTGACAACAAATTACGTAATTTAGAAGGCGTTAACCGGTTAGAAACTAAAATAAATTTACAAAATTAGGTTGGGTGAAGTAATCTAATTGATAGGGTTCAGTGAAAAATGAATGAGAGTCAAGTTAATAAGCTGAGTAGAATTCACTTAAAAATAAACGAAAATGGAGTTACCAAGAAAAATTACTATAAATTTGCGGTTTGTACAGCTTGAGAATGATATCGCCGAAAAGAGTAACTCTTTGCTGAACGCCTTTTCCTTTCTATGACTGTGTGATTTATCAAAATGAAATCTTATCCATAATGGAGTTATACTCTACCACAGTGCCCAAGTTTTGTACTTATACTATTCACTTTGTTGTTGTTATTGTTACTGAAATTAATCGCAGATGTATTGTAACACCACTTCGTTTGTAAGTGCTTTTCGATACTTGCGTAAGCCACTTGTTGTAACGAATTCATAGTCTGATAGTTCACTGTGTATGCAGATTGATAATTAGTTTATTAATGTTCTCATTTTCGATATACGAGTGATAGTCAGTCAGTCAGTACTACAGAAATCTTGTCTAGTTGAAAAGAAGCTTTTTTCAGATTCAGTGCTGACATCATCTCTGGTTGTCATTTACGAGTGTATATTTTCGTCTTCATAGGATGTCTATGTTACTTGGGTAACATATATATATGCATATGTCATATCCCTGTTTTTATGATATATTTTAGTCACAATGGTGCTGATTTTTCTTGTAGGCAAATCCTCGGTCGACTCTTCCTTGTCCATTGTTGCTAAATGAGAGTAAACGAATTGCCTACAATCCTTATGCAGATCTATGTTCTATGCTAGACTCTTGGTAAGTTTTTGATGTTTCTTTTTGTTTTACATTTGCCTTTGCATCTAATATTTGGAATAATAAAGGGGAATTTGTAGCTCACGCGTTTGTTTTTGATGTGGTTGTGTTTTCGAAGCTGGATAGTTTAATTGCGAAGCTTCCATTGTCCTTCTAGACAACACCTTCGGTGGAAACCAACCCCATTATGAAGTGGACTTATTTGAATTCTCCTCATGAATAATATTAATGTATCTCCTGACAAGCTTTTTTGTGATCGGTTGTTAATTTGCATCAGTATTGATTGATTGATTGTTTTTACTAACTTGAAATTTGACTTCTTCTGTCATGTGACTTATTGTTTATTGTTTGGTGAATTTGATCTATGTTGTAAATAATCACTGGTGCATCTGAATATCCGACTTTAGGAATTTCCTGACAGTCAATGACAACTGTTGATTTCAGAATCTTGAGTGTTGTCTACATTACAACTGAAACTAGAGTTTTGATGTAATAAGGCTGAGATTACTCTGTAGTAGCTTGGTTTTTTTCATTCCTTGAGTTTCGAGTGTAACACTAGTTTCAGTAGCCATGACATTGTTTTGACTGGATGGGGTTGGTAGCCCCACACACAACCTCCCCTATTTACGGGGTTTATATCTACCTGTGAACTAGATGACGTTTGGGAATGCGTCAGCCGAGAATTGAGCCACGGGCCACGTACGCCATTGGTGAGCATCCTACCTCTTAGACACGGACTCACAGTAACTCAGGTAGGGATGCAGTATACTTCTGTCAGATGATGCTACAAGACTGGACTACATTAACTCGTAGCCTAAAGATACAGAGTGAAGTGGTGGAGCATGTTGACCACTTCACCTGTTTGGGAAGTTGCATCAGCCCTAACGGGCTGATTGCTGATGAAATCTGAGCATGGATACAAAAGGCTGAAAGTGGAGTTCACCAATTTAGATCATCTCTGGTGTATATGGGATATCCAACTGTCGATCAAAGAATGTGTGTACTGCGCACCAGTTCGCTCCATCTCCCTTCATGACTGAGACATAGGTATTGATGAAATGGCTAGCTGTCTTTGATCATAGGTTTCTGCGTCCTATCTCCCGTGTTAGGTGATATTATGGAGAGAATAATTTTGAGGTTAGGCTTCGGTCGAGTACTAGGTAGGTGGGAGGGGAAATCAGCTGATGAGGTTGTGAAGTTACATCGATTGAGATGGTTTGGACATGTGTTACACATGACTGGCTATCGATCGCCTTCCTTGATGAGTAATGTTCGCTGCTGACATAGGATGAGGTTGGAAAAGAGCTAGCTGGTGGTGGTCAAACGAAAATATAGCTTTACCAGTTAATGAAATCCATAACAGTCAGTTTAAGCCAGCTAGCCATGTAGGGAGGTGTAGACTTCCTGGTTGCAGTCCTCAGGATAGTAAAAACGAATGACGGCTGGAGACAAGTGTCGATATGACTCGAAATTTTTCTCGAAGATGGTGCAGATGCATTCAGACTTTGTGGATCTCTCATCTCCATTAAACCGTCTTATTTTTCCATGTTATCATTCTTTCTCTGTCACATTTCTGCTTTTTGTTGTTCTTTTGAATCTCCTTTTTTTCTCGTTTGTCTTCCTCTGTGTACAACATGGAGAGTGTGTGTGGCAATTCGAACTGTTGTACTTGTGTGCAAAGTAGTTCAGTGTTAAAATTCAGTCAGTCAGGTAGGATTACTTTTTTTCCGCCTTAAAATAGTACTTATATATTCGGTGTTTTTTTACCTTTTATTCTCTTGATTCCTTAGCTGGGACAACAAAGCTGTATTTAATGCATGTGTAATGATTGTTACAAAAAATGAAAGTGAAATTGAAGTCGAACGCAATTGTGTTACTTTATAAAACTTTTACTCGTGAAATTTATTCTCGTAAACACTGTACTGTACTGTTGTTGTATTGTCGTGAAAAGTCAATTTCTTCAAGCTTTATTTCTTCTACATATATATACCTCCTCTTATCTTTCTCCTTTCAAGTGGTTTGATTGACTCATTGACTCATCTAATCAATACAATTACAAATATGCACGAGGGTTTATTACAAGACAATGAAACTGATAATCAATATGAGATGATGAACATCTCCTCATTGGTTGGACAAATTCAAGTATCAATATGTGAATTATTACGTGTAATATGTTCACATTCCTATGGTTTATTGCTTTTCGCCTATCGACCAGAATCAACTAGTCTATTGGTTAAATCGTGTTTACAAATATTCTCCAATGGTATTTTAAAGGATAACATGAATAGCAATAAATCATTTGCTTCTGAATTCTTCATATTCGGTTTGGAATTAATTTACAAAATAGAAGCTCTTCGATATCTTGATTTAATTATCGATTGGACAAGAAAGAAAGGTTTGTTAAAAAGATTTTTTTAAATATTACATATTATAGCCTTCTATCATTATTATTTTATACCATTCTCTTTCGCACATTTATTTTCCTAGTAACTTGACTTTTTAGAGTTGTTTTTGCTACAAACCAAAATAAAATAGAGGAACATTGTTCATGTAAACAGTGTTTCCTTTATAGCAGTGTATGTCTCCCGCTCCCCGCGGTGATAAGCTATACCCAAGACTTCTGGAGAGCGTAATATCGAATTCGTCCCTCTGTGTATTGACCCAACAGTCTTAGAGACGAGACCATTCCCCATGTGACATTATTGTTTTCGAGTCCTAAGTTTACCTGTAATACACAGTTGCAGTGTAGAAAGAATTATCCATTTTGTGCTGAACGGTTCTCGATATAAAAAAAGAAGGCGTTCAGCGAAGAGCCTCTTTTCGGCAAATTCATTCACTGAGCTGTACAATCGCATATATATACAATTTTGTTTGTGTGTGTACATTAGATTTATAAAGTTTAGATAATTACGTAATATAAGTATTATTTGGCTTGGAAACAAACGTTAAGATAGAAAATAAAATAGAATTGATTAAGTGAATTGGATGACGTAATACAACTGAGTAGAATTCAGAGTAGGTCAGGTTGGCAACAGTGTTAATGAGTGGTGGTTAAAATTAAATAAGGGTGGGGGTAGAGAAGAATACAGTTGAAAATTAAGTAAGTTAATCGGATGACATAATATACTTGACTAGAAATTGGACGTGGGTCGAGTTAGCAACATTGTTAGTGATGGTAGAGATTACAAAAGGGTGGGGTAGAGAATAATACAAATGAAGATGTGAAATAATAAAATGCAAAAGACAAAATAATACAATTAGTAAGACTGAAATTAAGAAGGATTACGTCCATTGTAGATTTAATGAATGAACGAATTTCTTTTGTATGCAGAGTTCAGGATTTAGCAGATGAATTGCCATTGCTTCTGCGATGTGGAGAAGCTTGATCAGTACACTTTTAGCAAGATTGCCTTGTATTCTGTAGATAACTTTGAAGTTTATTTGTGGTTTGACTTGGTGTCCAGAGTCGATCAAATGTTCAAGGATCGAGCTGTGGGGGCATCGGTTTTCTCCTTTATAAAACCATGAAGGTAAATGTGCGTTGACGCGTTTGGATAGCCAACGCTGAGTACGGCTGATATATCTGGCTCCACACGAGCAGGTGAATTGGTAGATGCACATAGATGACGCCAACAATGGTAGTTTACCCCTCACGTTCATGCGAATCATTGGTCTCGTGGAGAACGTTAGTCGTAATTCAGCTGCAAAGAAGATTTTCTTCAATGAGCGGGAGAGCCGATTTCTCAGTATTTCTGTAGATTGGTCTCCATTGAACTGTAGGTTCATATGGAGAAGTCTTTTTGAAGCACTGGGTGTGGGCGGCTTCTCTGGTCTGGGTTTCATTGATTTTGTGATAAATCTTTTTGGATAGCCATTTTCAAGGAGGATTTTCTTAGGAGTGTTCATTTCATCTTCTATGGCGTCCAGGCTGCAAATTCTACGTATTCTGTGGCTTAGTGAACGGATTAGGTTTCGTTTAGTATATAGAGGCACCCAACTGTGGAAGTTAGTGAGCTGTCCGTTCCACGTTGGCTTTCTGTAGATGGATCTTTTTAATGTTCCGTCTTGTTGGCGTCTCGTTAGTTGAACGTCAAGAAAAGATATCTTTCTCTAGTGTGGACTGAATCGCAGGGTGGCAGTTGTTGAAGAACTTCAAGTTATCTCCTAAATTCTCTTCGTTGTTGCAGATGATGGTGTCGTCGACGTATCTCTTGTAGAGTTCAAAGTTGTCAATCATATTCTTTAGGTAAGTGTTTTCGAGTTTCGACATAAAGAAATCCGCAAGCAGAGGACCTAGTGGTGAGCCCATAGCTATACCATCCTTTTGATGATATATTTCATTGTTAAAGGAGAACTGGACGTTTAGGGTGCATCTCGATATTTCTCCTGGTGAAGTCAATTTTTTTCTACGAAAATTACTTTCACACCAGTGAAATCCCCCCCAATGGCTTGTTAACTCATTTTTTAAGCAACTCTTAAATAACTGTTCATAAAAATTATACCGTAGTGTGTCATTGTGTTATTAAGTTGTATCGATAGTTAACTTATTAATATTTTGGGAAACTGTTTAATTTCCCTTTTTACATTTTGTTTGTTTGTTACTTTTCTTCAGCTTTAGTAACATTTAAGTTCATAAAGACATTGATTATATGCATACAATATGAATGTGTACTATGTGGAGTGATTCTATTTAATAATAATAATAATAGCTTTATTGCAAACAGTATTTTTGGTACAACTATGGCATTTTTAGCATGTATTCTTACAGTATTGCATCTAACTTTCTCATTATTGGGATAATAATTAAAACAGGGCATCTACATAGATAATAATGTTGTTCAATAAGAAAATAAATATAACATTTAGTAAAAAACATTAACAACAATGTAACAATGAAAAAAAAATGGGGCCGTTTACTTCGAGTTCCGGAATTATTTCATCATCTCCTGCTTTATGCATTTCTCATCACATAAAATGTGTGCCTGCCAAATAAGGTATTGTAGAGTTTTTGTACTTAGTTTTCCGAGCATACAGTCTTCTATAGTTGTTTCTAGTTCTATCCGGTGAGATGCAAGGAGAGAGTTGTGTATAGAGAGGATGCTCAGAGTTCGACAAGATAATATTTGCTGATTTCTTGCAGGAGTCCATGTGTCTATCTACAACAGTATTAATGAGTTGGCTTAGCAACACCTCACTCGCCCTACCAACGGCTTTTAGTCCCCTACTCAGTATAACAAAGTCTTTTTTAAGTAGCCTGGGAAAGAAAGATTAAGAGGTAGCAGTAAAGAAGTATGGGCAGAATACAAGAATTAACAAACTGTAGCAGTAGAGACGGAATGATACCAGATAGTCCTAACTTCCTTACGTAGAACGTCAAACGAAATATCTTTCTGGAAACTAACATTATGTGGGAAGACGAGGAAAGGTGATCAGAGGAAATATACAGTCCAAGATATTTAACATTCGATTTAGTTTCAACTTCTGTGGCATCTATGACAGTGGAACTATGCGAACTAGCCAGTTCACGTAAGTCGCGCTTGCATCTGAAAGTAAAATTAACTACCTGACCTTTGGAGGGATTAAGCTTAAGACCATTTGACGAGGACCACTGAGTGATTTCTGATGAAAAGTTATTCACTTTGGAGCAGCCTAACTGAGAAGTAATCGTCTACATAGAAACAGTCAGATCATCGGCATACTTTAACGAAATCGGCTTCGTCAGAATGGGGCAAGTAAGTCATGTAAGAAAAGGGAAAACAGAAGAGGAACACCAGCTAGAGTAAGTTTAGCAGTGGGGGATTTTCTATTGTAGAAAGTGTATTGCCTCCTATCAGAGGAATAGGAATGCAACCACTTGGTAGTCCAGCAATGTGCTTGTGTCACAGCAAGCTGGTTCGACAAAAGAGGCGTAGGTACAAAGTCAAAGACAGATACGTAATTTAGGAAGGCACACTTAACAAACTTGGCACATCTGTCTAAACTAGAGACAATATTATGATATAAGACAGGGGTATCTAAAGCACACCTACTATATTTATAGGCAATTTGATTAGGATCGTTAAAAGCCTCAACTGAAGGTTCAAGGTTGAGTAAAAGCAGTCTTTCTGTTATTTTTAAAAAAGGTGAATTAATGGCAATAGGTCTAAGCATAACAGTTGGTCCACCTGATGATTTAGGCACAGAAGCAATTATAATGTCCTTCCAAGAAGCAGGCATACTCTTAGTGGAAAACGATCCATTGAAAATACCAGTGAAAGGATAGCATAAAATGTCAGCACATTATTCGAGAAAAATAGCTGGTATGACATCTAGACCAAGGGACCGGGTAAGTTTTACGGATTTGAGACACTTGAGGACATTGTTTGTATTAAAACCGGAGAAGCAGGCATTATTTGCATTTGTAACATTTGAGATCATAACATCAGCTGGACGACATACGAAAGACTTTTTAAGAGTACCAGGATCAACTGGAGGAGAATCATTATATTTGTTTGCTTACCCCGTTGATTTCCTTAAACAGCTCCCACATTTTGGTGAGGTTTTGCATGATACGAACTTTTGATTATAAATCCTATTTAATCTGTGTATTTCCAGTTTAATTAAAATGTTCAGTATCTTAACACCAGGATTGTCTCTCATTTTGTATAACCTATCTTTTTCTCGGTGGAGCTTTTTGAGTTGAGAAGAGAAGTCAAATTTTAAGAAAAGTGTCTCTTTTGGACAACAAACATCAAGACAGAATTTGAGATAACATGTTACGTTTGTTATTGTGTCATCTAGAACTTGTTCAGTGAATAAGTCCCAGTTTGCATCTTGTAACATGTTTCTTAGACTCTATATTGTCATGGGAGTAATATCTATGTTGTTTTTTCTTGCCAAGGTTCAAGAAGGCCCTTCTGTGCAGCTTTCCATATATTTCGGGCGATATACGTATGACACAATAATCAGAATTAAGTAGTGCGGCTCTTTTCCGAGCTTCGAATATGCTGAAGTCATTTGTAAACACTAGATCAAGGGTATTTTCTAGTCGTGGTGAGAAGTCGACAATATTTTCATGACGTAATGATGTAAGGGAACTGTAGTCACAAGAATTAAAGTCGTCAGTAATTATTGACAAGGAGTTTCTAAGAGAGAGGTGGCAGCCAAAGAAGTAAATTCATCAGCAAATAAAGGTAGTTCTGAGAGGCTACATCCAGGTGCAATATAAATGTTTGAAATATATGTGTAGTTAAATTTGGACAGGTGTTTCGGTTGACATTTAACAGTGAGGCAGTCAATTTTGTCACTAAATAGTCTAAAATACACACATTATATGAAGTACACCACTAAGAATTGGTGAAAGTTGCAACGCCACCACCACATTTCTTTTTAAAGCTACATTGATCTTGTCTGAATTGTCTCAAACCATTTAGACAGATTAAATTGTCATCATATAGGTGATGGAGCCAGGTTTCTTGAAGAGTTTTAATTCCTACATTTGCGGTATACATTGGATGACACCAGGGATTGCAGACAGTTAATTTTACCTGGCAGCAGGAAATGACATTTTGTGCTCATAACGTCAGGAACAGTCATTTGATGTATTAGAATACGTTTTAAAGCGTGCTGCCACGCAGAATGTTGCTTTTTTTTGGATGTTGTTGAAAAATGCAAATCCACAGATTTTAAACATTTTAAATTTTCATGAGCGTAAACAATGCGATTGGAGGTCAAATTTTTAATAGGTTAATAAGTTAAAACAAATTGAAGTTAGACGCAATCTATCGTGATGGACGGAGTTTTGGTAGCCCAAAAGTTAAACAGTATATTTAATGCTATGTCTGTGATCATCACCTTACTCATAACTTGCCTTTCAGGTTCTCTGGGAGATGGCTATGTTTACCTGATGAAATGTGTCTTCACAAATCATGAAAACTAGATCAATTTTCAGCGTATATTTTGTCATGTTAACCGATACATCAGTTAGAGAATCATTGAAAACCGGGAAAAATTGAGCAGGTGTTTTGACCGAGTTTGAGACTCTTCAACAATTCGTACCCAAGAAAACTTCAGAACTCGTACTCGGTACATTTAGGTAACCAATACCAGCCGGAATTCAACACTATACGAAGGTGAAGCGGATGCTCACCGATGTCATTTGTTAGAGGCGCAGTGCTATATCACAAACAGACAACGTTTAGAATTTACAGGTCACTGGATTACAATCGAAATGATCGAATGGTCATTGATCTGACTTAGTGACTTGAAAACTCCCTTGTTTAATCCCTGGTGAAGTCATGGGTGTACAAGGCTGAAGAGTCCCAAGCTAGGGCGAAATCTCTGTTCAGTTCTCTTTAGTTTTCAATGATTCTCTAACTAATGTTGGTTCACAACGACATTCTTATAATGAAATTAATCCAAATCCTTACGAAGCCCATATAATGTAGAAATTAATTCTCAATAATTTTTTGACTCGTAGGCACTTACAGGGGTGTTGTACAAGTATTTTTCAGTTAATCCTGGAAATCTCACTTTTATATGTGTTGTTCGCCAATAGTTGTTTTCCTGTTAGATAAACTATGAGAAAGAATTCTATGTGCGCATGTTTGTGAACGAATTACCCCAATCATTATAAACTATTTCACCATTTGACTGAACAGCTTTTACTAAGGATTTAATATGTTTTCAAGTTTTACCAAAATCTGACCTTTTTTCACCATACAGATTTCACCACTAATTAACATAACTCCGACAACACTTATAATATGGTTTATCATAATTTCACTAGAGTTGAGAGAAATATATGAATATCCCATTCACAAAATCCCCCCCTCCCCTCCGCCTGCATTTTATCGTAATTTTTAATTTGTCGGTTTTTATTTGTCTTCAGGTATGACAGGCATTTATTCCTTTGTCACACAACTTCAATCTGAGACTAGTAGTAGTTCTGTAGATTTACGATCCAATGAAGCAGCAATTCTACGTGATGCCTTATTTGGACTGACCAGATTGACAGTGAACACGATTGGACAGTTTCATAATTCTATGGACAATGATGGTACTGTCGATGATGATGATGATGATGATGACCAGCAGCTGTCTAATCTAGAATGTCTCAAAGAATTTGTCCATACCACATTGAATACTGCATCACCTATATGGATTGCTGATGTCATTGCTATGGATGATTATTTCGCTCCATTTCTAATGCTTACTGAAGCTTTTGCTGAACACGATGTAGACATAAAGTGTGCAGGGAATAGCACACAGCAGTTGGCATTACCGAAAACTGAAAAATCTAAAGCTTCAAATGAAGAAACAAAGTCTAACAGTAGGTTCTGTCCTTTATTTCTCTATATATATTTGTATAATCTTTTTGATGTGGTTGTGTTTTCGAAGCTGGATAATTTAATTGCGAAGCTTCCATTGTCCATCTAGACAACACGTTCGGTGGAAACCAATCCCATTATGAAGTGGACTTATTTGAATTCTCTTCATGAATGATATTAATGTATCTCCTGACAAGCTTTGTTGTGATCGGTTGTTAATTTGCATCAGTAATGATTGATTGTTTTTACTGACTTGAAATTTGACTTCTTTTGTCACGTGACTTATTGTTTATTGTTTGGTGAATTTGATCTATGTAAATGTATCTGTGCGTCGGTGCGTCGGTGGCATAGCGGTTAGGAAGCTCGCCGACCATGCACATGGTCCGGGGTTCGATCTCCGGCCGGCGCACTCCCTTACCTCGCTAAGCCAGAACTAAAAGCTGGTGAAGAGGAAAGGTTGGACATGAGGCTAGCAACCCCATCCTGTAAAAATAAACACTGCTACAGAAACTTCAAGCCACTAGCTTGAAGCCCTATGTTCCACTAGGGAACGTGAAAGAAATAAAAAAAACTAAGTATTTCTGATAGTGTATGTATATCACTGTAGGGTAGAGTGTTCAGCTGAAGAGTTTTACTGAAATGTGATGAATTCATTAAATCCTGGTTTATTAACATTTGTCACTTGTTTTTTCACTATTCTAAGTCTCATCTTTATCTAGTTTTCATACATTAATATGAAAGCACTTTACTATAATCTCATAATTGATGACGATTCGTGTTATACATGTTTTCATGCTGTCTTTTATTGTTCCCAGCACAGTCAAATGATCCGGCTTCAACAGATGCACATTTTGAAATGCCAAGCGCTTTAAGTTCGAAAGCAACAATCCACAATCTGCTCTCTGGACCAATTCAGTTAAACAATTTAGTGAATACCTTGATCATTACAGTATTACGTCACAGTGAGGATGTATCCTATTTAGATCGTTATGGATTTCGTTTGGCACAGCTGATCACGCGTGAGTTAGTGTGTTATACAGCTTTTTAAGGCAGATGTATACCCCTTTTCCAATGAGATGTGTTCATAATAAAGGGCATTTTTTTCATCCATTATTGCATGTCTAAAAAAATATAGTCAGGTTGGAAATGTTTACCAGATTGTGAAATAGATAGGATGTATAGATTTCAGTGTCAGTGTGCTTGAAAAGTAAGCCTATAAAACTGCTTATTATTATTTGTGGAAATCACTGGCTTTCTTTTTTGCTTTGCATGTACAACATTATTGCCAAGTCAGTGATTCTATATAATTTATAGACATGGTGCGTCGCCTAAATCATTTCTAACTGGTTGCAGACTTTTATCAACAGCTGTCTTTGTTCCACACTGAAGCAACTAGGAACTCTGGTGACGAACCAACCGTGAACCTGTTGCTCAGCAAATATGCAGACAGAAATGCAGATAGATTGGGCATACGCTGAAGCGACCATCGATTGGCATCGCGTGCCAGATTCTAGAGTGGAACGTAAATGGGGAACGACAAGTTGGGAGTTGGTTCGAAAGTAACATCGAAGAGGTCATATAAAGAGGAGGGAATGATGAAAACTTATATGGAATCGTGGAGTCAGCTGGAAAGGATTTCAGGGAGCAGAATGGAATAGCAATGTTCTTCTGAAGGAAGACCTATTTTCCACTCGGAACCCAAAGGAATAATAATAATAATAACATAAAAGTAAATTTGAAATGCTTTCATTGTTGTGACCAACTCAATCAGGTGTAAATGACTACTGCTTATTTATAAGTCTGAAAGAAGTATAACTATAAAATCCCAGTTTCGAAGTTGCATATAATTGCATTTAACACTGTTATGAACAGTAAATCGTGTACTACTGCCCAATACATACGTCATTTGATCGATAGGTACATATAACGTCTACGCCAGAGATGACGTGAGTTGCTGAATGTCATTTCGAGCCTTTTATATCGGTGTTGAGGTTTTACTAAAAATCAGTACTAACATCCGTAATAAGCGAACCACCAACATGGTGCGTTGGTGGCATAGCGGTTAGGACGCTCACCGATCATGCATATGGTCAGGGGTTCAATCCCTGGCCGACGCACTCCTTTGCCTCGCTAAGCCAGAAATAATGCTGGTGAAGAGGAAAGGTTGGACATGAGGCTAGCAACCCCATCCTGTAAAAATAAACACTGCTACAGAAACTTCAAGCCACTAGCTTGAAGCCCTATGTTCCACTGGGGAACGTGAAGGAATAAAAAACGAACATGCTCTACCAATTCACTTCCTATCTTTAAACTAGGATTTGGTGAAAAGCATGTCTTCTCTCTCTCGTATTGGTTCATGCAGACAACCATGGACACTAATTCGATCGGGACAATGCTCAAATATGAGACAGAGGAAACACCAAAAGCGCCAGAGAATTTCTAAGAGTCTAGTATTCACATGCATCGGCAGTCAAGATATGTATTGATATAGACAAGATTTACCAATCTATAAAAAGGAAATTAGTTAAACGAAAAGTCAACTTTCACGTCAAGGGAACAATCAGTACCGATACAAGCAGACTAGAGGGAGGTAAAGTACACAAAAATAACCATTCACGTTCGAGTTTACGAGAAGCGGTGGCTTTCTAAACTCGGGGAGAATTTTAAAAGGATTCTTCAAATTGAAGCATGCACTATTAAGAAAATGAAGGTTTCACAGCTAAGCTATCCAGCTCATAGGACACAACTGCACCAAAAATAGGAGTTAATCGCATGTCATACCTTTGAAGATATCACTTCAAGGTGTTCAGAGCACTGCATTTTGTCATCGTCTCTATCACGAAGGACGTTATCATTCGCATACTCCTGCACCTCCATGCATCAAATGAATGTCACATATATAAAGCCATTGCGATTAAATAGAATTGATAAGGGGTGCAAAGTGTCAAGCGAAGTTGGAATAGTTTTCGAGAAATTCTTGTAACTTCCTTTTGTTTACATCATTAATTTATATATATTTATATATTACTAAGCACTGACCATTATATATACATGTGTTTACATATATATATATATATATATATATATATATATATATATATATATATAGAAGATGGGAAGTTAAACACTAGTGTTTACAGGAAACCCACACATTCAAACAGATATTTGGATTTCCGATCATCCCATCCTATGTCAGTAAAAATAGGATTGGTGAAATGTTTAAGTGACGGAGCACAAAAACTAGGTAGTACCAAGGAAAATCTAAGACAGGAAGTAAGACATATAAGAGATGCCTTGAAACTTAATAATTACCCTGATAAATTAGTCAGAAAGTATGTAGGGAAATGTAAAAATAAAATAAATAATGATAGTAGCGACAGTGATAATAATGATAACAATAATAATGATAATAATAGTAATAATATTAATGACAACACCAACAATAAGGAATCTAAATCATCAGTAGTGATTCCATACAAGGAAGGAACCTCGGAAACCTTACGCAGAATTCTTAACAAGGCAGGAATAAAAGTGGCTGGTATTCAAACCCACAAACTCATTTAGAAACAAGCTTTGTCGGTTAAAGGATCCTGTGGAGCCTAGCATAAAAACCTAGCAAAATCTAGATTGGTTAACCGGAATAAGATAAGAAATCTAGAGAATAGTTCAGCTATAGCACTACACGCAGTTACGCACAACCATACAATAGGATGGAATAGGATAACAGTTTTAAATTCTAATGTCACAGGGTGGAGGGAGAGATTGATAACAGAAGCTTTGTTTATCGAATCAACTGCAAATACGTGTAATAGGAATGATTCAACACGTGTCCACCCATACATCTGGGAAATTCTACTACCTCTATGACAAATAGGAGAGGACAAAGAAAACTATAAAACTCAAGTTTCGAAGTTGTTTGATTATAATTGATGATATGATTATGAACAATAATAAATTGTATTCAAAACGTTGTCATCCAGTTAATAATACTGTTTCACTGACTGTGTGATACATCTAATAAACAAACTAATATGGAATTACTTACTGCCACAGTGCCCAAGTTTTGCACATATATATTAATATACACATTTCACTTAATTTCTTTTGTAGCACATCAACAAATCGACTGTGTAGAAGATATTACACCTATTGATGTATTAGTACAACTGAATTCATTTACTCGAATTGCACCAATTTATATTAATTGGCTTCGTGATGGATTGTCTCGTTCACATGTTACAGGAGTGTTCAATGTACCGACTGATTCACCTTTATCACCTGACGCCTGTTCATGGTTAATTAGTCAATTGCAAACAATGAGTAATGAATTGACTGAAGCATTAGATACACTTTTAGATCTTGAAGTTGCTGAAGATCTTATAGCACCAAATACTACATCATCTCATTTAACATTTCAAAGTCGAAAACTATCTAATGCTCAAATTGTTACAGCTGGTCGGTGTATACCGCCTAGCATTTTATTGGTATTACGTTTATTACGTACGCATATACTCGGTTCAAGTCGATTATCAATTTTTGATCGTTTATCATATGATAATTTTTCAAAACAACAGATAATTTTATCTCGAACGAATGCACTTATTAGCATAATCAGTATGAATGGATTAAATACGTTTATTACCTTAATTCAGGTAAGCGTCTATGCCTTTTTTGTAATGATTACTCCTTATCTAGGATGTATATATTATTCTATTATTAATGAATTGGTCAATCTAGAGATGCTTTATGATAGCTTATTGAACATTGTAACATTGTAACCAGAGCTTATATTCCTTAATTATGTCTATGCATAATCAATTGCTTCTATCAAATACACTCTACAAGTTAACGATGCTGTTGTTATTTGGAGATAGCAAGCTTTACATGTTTTTAGTTGCACAGAGAATTTATAATCTTATACTTACTGTTTCTAGCTCTTACACGTCTTAGAAAGTACGCCATAATAACCATTATTATTATATCATTTATTTATTATTTCATTCCTTTACGTCCGTAGTGGAACATAAGGCTTCGGGCTAGATGCTTGAAGTTTCGCCAGCAATGGTGTTTTTTTTTGCGGGTTACTAGCCTCATGACCAACCTTCCCTCATTACCAGTCGTATTGCTGGCTTAGTGAGGTAAAGGAGGAATGCGTTACTGGCTGGGGATGGAATCCTGAAGTACATGAGGCGTGATAGGCGAGCATTCTATTGCTGCGCAACTGATGCGCCGTAGTAACAACGATGATTATAAATCCGTTGTATTTTTTTCCTAGTTCATGACTTCATTAATATTATGCATTCTTACTAGGTACTCTGATAATTTCCAGAGGTTAGTGTTTGTGGGGATTAGGTTAGTTTCAAGTTTGATCACGGATTGATATCAGTTGAAGAACTATTGGAAACCAACAGCAAATACTGGACAGCTGTTTCGTCCTAGTCGGGACTCCTCGACAATTTGCCTGAAGTCCTAGTGAGAAGTCGTAACCAGTGGGGTTCATGAAATCAAGTGTGAGGACAAATTGTCGCCACTGATATATATATATATATATATATGTATATATGACCTAAGTCAATGCAAGAACTGGCGCAGAATTATGCTCTTGTCCATCCCAAGCAAAATACTAAGCCGCATCATCCTGCAGAGAATCAAACATGCCCTGGATGAAAAACTTCGACCGGAACAGGCTGGATTCAGGAGAAACAAGTCATGCATTGATCAGATCCCTACATTACGGATCATCATTGAACAGAGCTTGGAATGGCAGTCACCTCTCTATCTCAAATTCATCGATTTTGAAAAGGCCTTCGACAGCGTCGATCGAGAGGTGCTTTGGCAACTACTTCGATACTACGGGGTGCCACCGACAATTATACATTTCATCCAACAACTGTAAGATAATGCTGCACGCCCAGTAATCAACAACGGGAAACTTACGGAACCCTTCGAAGTGAGGACAGGAGTAAGACAAGCTGGCTGCCTACTATCACCAATGATTTTCTTGATTGCAGTAGACTAGATAATGCGACAAACAGCGGGCAATGAGGAAACAGGCATAAAATGGACTCACACAAAAACTTGGAGGATCTGGACTTCGCCGATGATATATGTCTGATTTCCCGCAAACTGTAAGATATGCAAGCGAAAAGCAACAAGTTGGCAGAAGAAGCATCAAAGATAGGAGGGACTTCAGGTGAACACAGAGAAAACAGAGGTGATGAAGATTCCTGGCCAACACCAACACCACCACCAGCAACAACAACAACAGCACACAAAAATCAGCCAGCATAAATGGGAGGAACCTGAACGAAACAACCTCTTTTACCTACCTACCTGAGAAGCATCGTTTCAACTACAGGAGGACAGAACTGATGAGGATATCAAATCGAGGATAGGGAAAGCAAGACAAGCTTTTATTACTCTCAAGTCTGTGTGAAGGTCAATAGCACTCAGCATGAAAAATAAGATGCGGATTTTCAACTCCAATGTGAAGTCAGTGCTACTTACTATACGGATCAGAGACTTGCACTGCGCGTCATAAAGAGCATCTCAAACAAACTACAAACCTTCATCAACAGTTGTCTTCGCTCAATACTCAAGATCAGATGGCCGGCCAGAAAAGATCAGCAACAGAGATCTCTGGCAACGAGCGAACCAACCGAGCAGGAACCGATTGTGAAAGAAAAATAGGCAGGAAGAAATGGAGATGGATTGGCTGGCCATACTCTGAGGAAACCATCATGTGACATCACTAGACAAGCCATTGCTCGAGTGGAACCCGAAAGGGAAGCGGCGAGTTGGTCGTCAGTGCAAGGGTGACCTGGAGGAGGTCATGTGAAGAGGAGATGAAAGCGTGTGGGCAGACATGGAGCCAGGTGATAAGACGTAGGCAGAGAACAGAACGCAATGGAGACGCACGGCTGAAGCTCTATGTTCCTCTAGGAATTAAAGGTTACAATAATATATTTATATATATATCGTCATAAGGCATATTTTCTTGACATTCTTTTCCTCCATATTCTATTTTTTATCTTTTAGAAACTCTCTGATTTCTTCATACTGCAATTACAAGCCACGTTATCTCATGCAAACAATGCAACCGATCTGATAGATATAAGTAGTTGTGATAGTAATGCCAGTCTAGTGTTTTCAATATTTGATTCCGTTATACAAATTGTTTCTGTCCTATTACGCACTATCATCCCAATCCAAGGTGAAGATTTTCAAGATACTCGGATTTTACATCCTTTATTTTATGCGTATGCTTGTACAATTTTCACATTTTGTCCCCCTGGTCCTAAAGCTGTCCAACTTGAAAGGGTGAGTAGAAGGTCCGTTTTTTGTGATTTGCGTTATATATATCTAAATCCTTCCAAATGTCAGACTGTTAATTTCAGTTTCCGATGTAAACGAAAGTTAAATGAAGCCGTTGGCTCCTATGACTCTTGCAAAATTGATGATGGTGATGTAGTAACCAAGTCTGAAGTTAAGTATTTTAGATTAATTCATTTTTCTAACCTGTCCTGGTCTTCCCATATGTTAGCGATTTCTAAAAGAATATTTCGTCTGACTTTTTACATTAAGAAGTTAAGGCACTCAGGCATAACACAACCACTCCTCTTACAGTTTGTCAACTCGTGTAATTTACCTATTCTTCTTTACTTTTCACCCTTATTCTTTCCTAGATTGCTTAAAAAAGACTGTTTCATACCTCGTAGAACTCTGAAGACTGTCAGTAGGACGAGTGGTATCCCATTGGGCCATATTGTTGACATTGTCATTGATAGGCACTTGATGTCATGCAACAAATTCGCTAAAGGAATTTTGTCAGACTGTGAGCATCCACTTAACTTACCCTCAGCTTTCACTTGGTGTTTCCTCAGGTAAAACAAGAAATCTTTTCAAAAGACTTTATGAACGTACGTCTAAGTATAAAAATTCCACTATACCATATTTTGCACGTACTTTATGTGATGAAAATAGCGTCAGAAGTGAACTAACTAACCTTCTTTGCACTACTAAATAAACCATTTCGTCCACCCTTACAACATCAAACTTTATTGTTATTGTACTTCTTATATTTATAATCGTCTCAATTTTTTTTCCGTTTATTTTTTAATAATAATATTAATTTGATTTATTCCAGAAACAGTACTAGTGATACAGTGTGGAATTTTCAGCATTTATCTACAATATTTGCATCTAATTTTATCAAACATTTAAAAGGAGTATTTCAAAAAATGAATATAAAGACAACAACAACAAAAAATAACAAACACAAAAATAATTTTAAAAAATGCGAAAAAATACCAAGAAGTAGAAAGGAAAATAAACAACATAAAATAATATCTCAGTATTGGGTAGTGGAAGCTATAATATGATTATGCATGGTGACAGTAAAGCTGTACTCATACAAGAAGTTATGAAATGATATTTAAGAACATCATTTAAGCTGTGTTATAACTGTTAATTTTGTATTTCACATCACCATACTGCCATATCAACAGAATATTAGATTCAATACTCTATAACATGCTAAAATTTTCAAACTGAATCGACAATACTGTTTGAAATAAACTCACTATTTTTATTATTCTTACTCTTATTCTTATTATTATATTTAATATTCTCAATTCGTGCTTCGAATATTTTTGACTTTATATCGTAAACGTGGACTAACTCCTCTGGTTAATTTTGTTTTAATTTTTAATTTTATTTATATTTTACGTAAATCAGATGCAATATTGTGACAAATGCTGAGAATTCCATTCTGTATTATAAGTACTGTTTTTAGAATAAAGTAGATTATATATATATATATATATATATATATATATATATATACATATATATATATATATATATATATTCCTTTACGTTCACAGTGGAACATAGGGCTTCAAGCTAGAGGCTTTAAGTTTCAGTAGCAGTAGTGTTTATTTTTGCGGGATGGGTTTGCTAACCTCATGCCCAATTTTCCCTCTTTACCAATGTTATTACTGGCTTAGCGAGGTAAAGGAGTGCGTCTGTCGGGGGTCGAACTCTGCACCACATGTGTGGGTGGCGAGCATTCTACCGCTTTGCCACCGACGCATATATATATATATGGCATATAAATGTATGCATTTTTTTATATATTTATTTATCTATTTTTTGATTACAGCTTGATTCCACACCGTATTTTTTGGTACAAGCATGGAATTTTGAGCATGTGATATTGGTAGCCCAAATATTGCAGGCCGACCATAGATATCAGGTGTGCGTCGGTAGAGAATCGAACCCCGGACCATGTGCATGATCGGCGAGAGTCATAACCACTGTGCCACCGAGAGTTGAAATAACATAACAGTTGCAACAATCCAGTTAAAAGCCGCTTTCAGTCCCCAACTAAACTTCGAACAGGTGCATGATTCCGGCATGCAGATGAAATCTCGGATGTTTTTTTGTAAACCAGGTTTAAAGACTTAGACGCTTTTTATTACAAGTGATTTAGTTTATGTCATTTTCATTCACATCCTTAACAAAAATTATCCACAGACGTGTAGTTCTGATAGGTAGTCAATTGAACTTCGGGGCTACTGAAATTGTTAAAGTTCTATTACTTATTTCTTGGGGATTTTTTCTCAGGTGTGAATTGCATAGTCTTTTTTCTCCAACTCTAGGCTGATTGAAGTCACTAAAATTTCTACGTAATCGACCCAAATTGTATTGGTGTCACTCTCAACAGTAACACATCCTGAATCCATCTCTCTTTGAGTAAGGCATTTCCTGTTGGATCGTAGGTATATATGTACACTTTTACTTTATTTTTACTTTCAGATTCGTGATAGCGTAATTACTGGTGTTTTGGCCTATACACATTCTGAACTAAACAGAGTGCTTAATATTCAAGGTACATTGTATTTTTTGCAGTGTTCGTTTATGATATAACTGTATTATATTTTCCCGTTGACGTAGTATCTAAGGCTGACTGGCTGGTTTAAACATAGAAAATTGCACAAATGCACAGCAGTTCGAGTTCCCACACCTCCCTCCTTGTAGCACACAAAGCAAGAGAAGAGAATAAAGACAGATAATAAACAGAAGCGCGAGTGAGAGGAAAAGAATAGTAATATAGAAAAACGATAGTTTTATTGGATAGGATAAATCAAAGAGAGTGAATGCATCTACACTATTGACAACGATTTCAAGCCATCTCACCAGTTGTCTTCAGCCGTCATTGGTTCTTACAATCCCGATGACCGACCCCAACTAGGAAGTCTACAGTGGTATCTAAGGCATATGCTTTTTATTGTTAAAGAGATGTCCACCAGTCTAAGGAAATCATTCGGCTAACTTTTTCTTTAAAAATGTTTCCACTAAATCATCTGAAATAGTTGTCCAATGGTCGTAGTTCAATTAATTAACGATTAACCATGAGTTACTATGGCTTTCATTCATATGTGGGTGAATAATGCCCAGTAATTTCTTTTTCACCCCACACTACTTATTGAACCATACCACCTTTTCTAAAGTGATAATACTGCTTACTAGATAAATTTATTTCATACATATTATACATTGATGCAGTATTCTTTCACCATAATACATTTTGGGCACAATATACTGTGTAATATAGAAAGAAATCCTCTGTGTCATGATAGTTTAATCCTACTCTCACCTTCATGCTTTCCGATTGGTTGAAAAGTTACTTCCAATAACAAATGTAAATTCATAATTTACCACGTATGTCGTTGATTATCCCTATCCATACCAACCGATGCGTTACGGATTCGAGTCCTACTCTACCTACTTCAGTCTGGTCACTTGGGAAGTATGACTAACCGTCACACGATGGGTATGGTCCGCTAACCCTGTATAAATAAAACGTCTTTCGGGTAATTGAGCTTAAGCGAACATCTATATAACTATAAAGATAAAACTTAGACACTATCTGATATCCGAAATGTCTCATTTTTATAATGTGTGATAGTGTTTTACCCTGTCTCCAAAAATAATTGTCAAGTTAGTAGTAACTTGTACATAACAGTGTACAAATCATGTCTATTATTCAAGAGTTATTTAAATTCAAATAAATGCAGGCGGAGCGTTATTCGAACCCAGGATTCACTCTATTTGAAGTTGACTGCATTCTGACTGGTACATAGAGCCTTTAAAGTTTTGAAGTTTCACTAGTGATGTTGTTTCTAAGGGGTGGAGTCGTTAGCTACACATCCAACCTTCCCTTTCTGCCGGGCTTACTATCAGTTAGTGAATTCGGTGAGGTAAGGGAGGGAGTTCATCGGCCACGAGTCGGATTCGCATCATGTGCGTAGTTGGCAAGCATTGTACCAGTGAACCACGAACGTACTAAACCAGGTTTACTAATTCGAAACTTATTCAGCATGTTAAATACACCAGTTAGCGATTGTCCTAAAAGAATAAGCTTGTTTTCCCTTATTTCTTTTCCTACAGTTATATAATACAAATAATCTTAGACTATCATTATTTGCTGTTTAATTGTCTTGATGTCGTGTTAGCACGCATGAATTATTAATTATAGATAAATGTTATCCGCTTGTTCATTTATCTTTATTGTCTCGTTCTGTTTCCATCTTAGAAATCAATAAATCCCTGTGGGTATTAATGCTAAAAGAACTGATCCGTTTCACAATATCATCACCGTGTTTCTTCCTACCTGGCCTATTAATATTCATAGATTTGTTGCCTCTACCGTTACCTATAGTCACTGTTGATCTGTCTTTTGGTTCAAGTGATGAATCTAAGGTTAGTTTAGTTATAAACAAAATGGAAGAATATTTTTCCTTTTATTGTCATTATAATGTTTTAAAACGAATTTTAACCCGGTATTGTTAATGGTGTTGAATTAGTTGTGTTCTCTAAGCTAGTTGATTTAATTGTGAAGATTTCGTCGTCCACCTTCTGGACACCATCTGCAGCTCAGGTTTATTAGCATAAAATGAACTTATTTAAATTCTCCATGAATGATGTAATTGTATCTCCTGGCAACCACTGTCATGACTGGTTGTTAATCTACGTCTTTATTGTTCATTACTATTGATCTGGGATTCGAACTTTCTTGTCATGTGGTTTACTTTTTATCAGCTGGTAAATGTGGTCTATGATAGTAATGTGGTTTGTTAATTGCTAATTCACCAGGGGCCTCAAGTAATTCCGTGGCAGTGTTTTTAGTGTTTCGTCTATTTAAAATTTCTACATTATCCCAAACAAATCGGTGTCCATAATTATCTACATGCATTGATGCGAAGGAACATATATCATATCTTTTTAAAGTCAATTTGTGTTCTTGGATTCGGATTTCAGCGGATGTCCACTTTGACTGATGTTATTTTTATTGCAGTTCATACGGTTTATCTTGTAAATTATATATATATATATATATATATATATATAATGGTTGCAGGCGATCGAGAAGAAGCCGTGGACCTAGACATTGTGCTTGCTGGGACCCTTCAGCAAGACATATCCGCAACCTTTGCAGAATCAATGTTTCCCCGCCTCTTTGGTGATGTGGATTGTATTTTCAGAAACGATGAGTATCAGCAAAGCTTGAAACCTAAATTCCAAGGTTCCATGCCAATTACTTCTGACCACATAACATCAATTCGGAGTGCACCATGAGTGCGAGCCGCCTAGCTTGATGACCAAATTATAAATTTGACTGGTAGAGTTCAGTCAATATCAGAACCAAGGATTAGACAGATGACACTGACTGCACCCTAGTGACCAATATATATATATATATATATATATATATATATATATATATATATATATAGAAATGCATCCTAGAAACTGCTCTTTTTTCCTCATGGTTTTTGTAACATTGCTTCATACTGCCATCTAAGCTGATATTTTTTAAAATTTTTATTTGATATTAAAATATTTTTAAATTTTTTAGATAAATAGTTCCCGAGATGTTTGGGCTGCCCACCTACTTGCAGTATCTTCTGATTTGATAGGAATGATACAGTTATTGAGTGCAACTATTTCATCACCGAACAATCTATTGTTCTGTACTCTTTTCAAATTTGTTGAACGTTTAGTGGATATCAGTTTAGCCTTTGCAAGTCTACTTGCTAATGCGTGTTTAGATAGCATAAATGATGTAAGTTGTTTTTCGTACTGTTTTGATTATTATTATTATTATATTTAATACAACCTGCAAATTATTATTATTATTTTGTAATTGTTTTAATGTTCGTCATCTGGTTTTAACCTATTCATCAGTGTACACTGACTCCAGTAGACTTTATTGTCATGATTATTATTCTTTTATGTTCTGAGTTGGGAGCATAGGTCTTTAACAGGACATCCCCGTTTCGTTATCTGTTCTCTGCAGTCTTTTTTTACTTACACCTGTCCATAAACTTTCATTTTCCGACACAATCTCCTCCATTTCACTCTCGAAACGATGCCTAACTTATCTTTTTTTCTACTATAATTCCACTGTAAGTTCTAGCGTGTGATGATGTCAGTCAAAATAGTCTCCTTGACACGCTTTAGTCCATTTTTTGTGGGTTTGTGGAAATTTAACAACTATGATATCTTTTCATCAGTGTATGTTTATTTTTGAAGCGCATTCTTATGGTACGGTGTCAGGATACATACATACAACGAGTTGGTTGATTTTATTGTTTTTGTTGTTCTGTAGGTATTTAAGTAACCTGAACTTCAATTCGCTAAATTATCAAAAAGGCTCCATTCATTCTAGTATGACTAACCTTACTGAGCAAAACGATAAAATTAAATTAAAAAGTACTGTTTGATTCTTGACATCTTTTGTATGCATTACCCTGTATTGATCACGGTCACTTCTACTTTTATAACATGATAGATAGTTCAAGCAAAATGATTGTCAGCTTGTTTAGCTGTTATGTTTTAGGTGTTGACTTTGTATGTAATCTGTGCGTTGAAGTTTCTGTAGCAGTTTGATTGGTTTAGTGGGCTAGGGTGGCTAGCCCCACGTTCAACCCTCCCTATTCACCTGGGCTGTTGGGACCGGCTAGAATACTAGCCAGGTAGTAAACTAGGCGAGGTTTTCAGATGATCTATCTTTAATGTCACACAAACTCGGAGAGTACAGGTGAAAACCAACAAACTGGTTGAAGAAGCAAGTGGTGAAGACAGGACTCGAGGGGAACATAGAGAAGATGGACGGAGCAACACTCAGCACCAATCGTCATCAATAGGGGGAATTTGACAAAGGTTACTTCCTTCACTTACCTAGGTAGCATCGTTTCAGCCTCAGGCACGCCAAACGGATGAGGATGTCAAAGGCAGCCAGAATCGGAAAGGCAAGATACGCCTTCATCACTCTGAAGTCAGTTTGGAAATCTTTTGCACTAACTCAGTTTAAAGAGCAAGATTCGGATTTTCAACACAAATGTGAAGTCAGTCAGTGAGTTCCTCTATACGGGTCAGAAACGTGGTCAGTGTGTCGCGTAAAGGATTTCCAAGAAGTTACAGACAACAGTTACCTTCGCTCCATACTGAAGATAATAATAATAACTTTATTCTGGATAGTATTTATAAAATGTACAGGATTTTCAGAGAAGTATTAATTGACAGGATATTCTGTGACACAATGGTCTCTAAACTGAAGCACAAACCATTCCATTATGATGATATATCTGCTTTGTCTCCTTCATGAAATCCACGATATCTAATTGAAAGCGAATTGTAAGATGTTCAGAAGTACATTTTGAGATCCGAGGATATAACTGAAGAACAGTCATCTCATGTTTTGGAACACATTGCCACTCACATTCAGGCCTTTCCTCAAGTTTAGTAGGAACTTACGAATCAGAAGTTTGTAAACATTTGAAATACACACAAGAGTAGATAGTACAATTGGTGTTCATATCTTAATCAATTAAAACAAACTGAACGAGAGAAAATATGTGTGAAAGTTTTTGGTAGCCCAAGTTTTAAGCAGTTCGCTGACACACATTTTTGAAAATGAATGAAGATCAAATGACCAAAAAGAATTAGTAGAAATAAACTCTGACAAAAAGCTAACCATGAGCCGATTGCTCGACATATATGTAGGAAAAAATGGAAATGGATAATAATAATAATTTGCTTTATTCCAAAACAGTACTTGTGATACAGAATGGAATTCTCTGCATTTTTTTACTACAGTATTGCATCCAGTTAGTACATTATCAATAAATAGAATTCTACATAGATTAAGGGAATCTCAGTTCATTATGACAACAACATATTGGCATGTCGGTAGCAAAGGTAAAGCTGAACAGTGTTTGAAGGCGTTAGATTAGTAGGTGCTGTCATATTTACTGGCGTAAGCGAGAGAAAGAAACAAAGCAGCACATAACGGAAAAAAAGAGAGAGAAAAGGAAAAGAAAATGTTGTACCTACAAACGATATGAGTTGGAAAGACGAGACCCAGTTGTTCTACTGACTATTTAATGAATTATAGGTGTCACGCCTAATGCTTTCTTTATCGCACAGAACACGAGCTAAGTAGGGTATATACTTTGAGGAGGAGGTTGAATGACATCGCGTGTCAAGCCATCACTTGAGTGAAATCTGAATGGGAAGTGACGAGTGGGTCGTCGGTGCGAGAATGAAATGTAGCAGATAGTGGGAGGAGGAGATGAAAAATTATAGGCAATCGTGGACCCAGCTGAAGTAGATGGCAGAAAATAGAAGAAAGTGGAGATGTCTTTTTTATTTTAAACAGTTATTTTTGACACTTGACTAGTCCATCAATTTACATAGAATAGAAAAAACGGGGGGGGGGGGAGATATTTCTGGTCACAATTTTGTTTAAAACACTTTATTCCTTGCTTCCAACCTTTGTTTTTCTAACGAAATACTAATTATTGTCTGTGTTCATCCTCTAGGTTCGAACTCAAATCCTAAATGAACCTGAAAAAGAAGAGAAGGAAACGGCTGAAAGTAGTGTGTCGAATGAAGGAGATAACGTAGAGGAACTATGGTAAGAGATATTTGTATTTTTTGTTTGGAGGAAGAGAATACTTATACAATCGTTGAATGATGGACACACAGTATTTAAAAGCGTCGGTGGCTGAGCGGTAGAATGCTCGTCTACCTGCTGACTCTTTAGTCTGGCCCACCTAACCTGGTGGCCAATCTGTTCTTAACACCGCCCCAACTAGTGAAGGGAGAATATAACACTTACGGCTGCTGAAAGATGGATTTATTGATGATGATTTACAGAGAGTGTACAAGTAGATAATCACTCCACAACGAAGCTGCCGAGCTCTTGTCCCTTGAAAATTATCTTGACCACCATGTGTTCCAATCCGCATGGATAAACAAATTGATCGTTGATGGTGAAACGGCTGAGGTTCAATTGAGTTGATGGACTTCTTTGATCCCCTACATAACTCATATTAACACCAATGTAAGCCATTTCTAATTGACTGTCTGAGTTTCAGCTTAGAACTTTGCACAGAAGTGCGGCAATTCAAGCTGTCACACTTCATTTGGCATACAAATTACAGAAAAGTAAAACAAAAGTATAATGTGCAGGAGAGAGAGACAGAGAGTGGCCACCTAGAGAAAAAGGACTAATGAATATGGGAAATGAAAAAGAGTGAATACATCTGCTCCATATCACTAATAGTATTCAGCCACTGGGTCTTGGCATCCTGAGGACCTCAAACTTGCCGTCTATACCTCCTACCTACGTGGCTGACTGAAATCATGTGTCCAATGACTTTATAAGTTGGTGTCAGGTTGTGATTCGACTACCCATAATTAATTTTTCCACCTAATCCTATGTCAAGTAACATTACCTGTCTAAGAAGGCTGTGACCCGACATGCGGAACATGTGTGCTAGCCATCTCGATCGATGTAACACCAATATTTGCTAATGATATTATAACACTTAAACACTGTAGACAGAATACAAATACAGCTACCATATTCATATCTCCCACTTTCAATGACAATGTTTCACAGTCATAAATGAGGACAAAGACAGTTGCTACACAATTCACATGTCCTTTGATCGATAGCCGGATGTCACATATACAACACCAGAGGTGACCTAAATTGGTGAATTCTACTCAGAGCCCTTTGTATGCATACTGAAATTTTGTCAGCAAGATGTTGCATTGTAAGATAAACAGCATTTGTAGAAGTGTATTATTTGTGAAGTAATTTGATTAAAGTATGACTAGTAATATGCTGCTGGTTGCTTTATCACTACTTATAAACGATTATGTCTAAAAGTCAACTTTAGTTGAATAAGGTTTCACATGTGATTGATTGCACAACATACGAAAAGGTAAATCTGGCTTCGTGAATATGCATTAGTGAATGTAGTGGACTCTGAAGAGTTTTCTAAGCGTGAATATTGTATTATAGCGCTAAAGCATTATCCGCTGGACCACTTGGCAACAAGAGCCACTTCCTTCCTGTTCAACGGGTATCAGCAATTATTTTGTTTCAATTTGTGCTTTGCCGTTGACTGATTCGACCGAGGCGCTCAGCCTCATGCGTTTGAAACTATGAGTACTGAGTTTGTGCCGTGGGGGGGGTGAGGAACACCATCATTCATCTGGGAGTGCAGGTACATCCCGACGACGAGTCCCAAATAGGATGAAATGCGCATTCTGGATTCCACTGCAAGTCAGTCAACATCCAACAGCTTACTGCAATGTGTTTCATTATGTAAACTGATCTTCGTTTCTTTACTAATTATTGTTAGTGCTCAGGTGAACACCTGTATGCATTATTAATGTGTATCTTTACTTTTTTAATTATAAATAATTAAGAGTTGATATAGAGTTATGAGGCCCGACCGCAAGCTGCTACCTTGACGTGGTGGTCGGGCTTGAACACCGCAATGACCCAACAAGCTATACTGGCTGAGACTTATGTCGCTTGAGGTCCTACCATGCCAGAAAGGTTGTTTGGATGGCGGTTAGACAAAAAGCAGTTACCCAATCCAATGCTATGACTCAAAGTAAATCACAAAATATCATGCTGGATCGGTCGGGGCCCGGATTAACAACGACCGCGCTTCCTACTGCCGTGTCACAGGACAGAAGTGATAAATATGCTACTGAGACACACCAAATAAAAAAGAACAAACAAAAACAGGGCGCGTGTGACCGGCCTCAAGCAGTTGTCCCCTGGGCTCTGCGGTGACGCAACCAACTTCCACGGTGTGGGCAGCCGAGAAGTAACAATCGCCCTCACAATCCGAAGTGCACGCGAAACCTCTCTAATCCTCACTCATCTTTACCTTCATCTTCATCTCTATTATCTTGCCTTCCTTCTACCAATGCAACTCCTTTACTTGATGGCTCTTCACTTCCTCTTCACTCTGTGTGCACTGAAAACGAAGGAAGCCAAAAAACCACCATCGATAGTCTCCTAAAGCCACGCCACCAATTTCATATAGGGGCATTTAATGTTTGGACACTTTGCCAAATAGGACAACAAGCATCACTAGCCAAGACTCTGGCATCCCGAGCCATTGATGTATGTTGTGTTTCAGAAACACGCATACAAGAACCAAGTGTGGTTATTCACCTAACCCCACCTGGCCAACAGGATGAATCTGCAAAATTCACCTTGAGAGTGTCAGGAGATGCGACGGCTAGCTCACGAGGATTAGCTGGTGTTGGGATAGCTTTGAGTACTAGGGCAGAAAAGACATTACTTGACTGGATCCCGGTAGATAGCCGAATGTGTGCTGTCTGTCTGAACGGGTCAGTGAAAAGGAGAAAGGACTGCACTACTCTCCGATGCCTTTCCGTAATCTCCGCCTACGCCCCCACTGACTGCAGTTCGGATGAAACGAAGGATGAGTTCTACCAAAAGCTGTCTAGTTTGCTGTGAAAGGCCTAACGCTCAGATATAGTCGTTTTAGCTGGTGACTTTAATGCTCAAGTAGGGAAATTGTGCCAATCTGAGAAGAATGTCGGTGGCACATACGGAATTCCGTGCCAGCGAACCGACAACGGTGACCGTCTCCTACAGTTCTGTTCAGATAATCATTTGTTTCTTGTAAGCACTAACTTCAAACACAAGGAGAGACACTGATTGACCTGGCGACCCCCATCATCAAACTAGCCAGAGTTATGAGGAACAGTAAATTGTTCTGGAAGCATATCGTTCACTCAGTAATTCTTACACAAGTATAATATGTCTTTGTGATTCTCTATTATTATTATTATTATTATTATTATTATTATTACTATTATTAATTTTACTACTTTTCAGTTCAAAGACAGAAGAGTCACTTTCATCTTCAGAGAATAGAACGGATCATTTAGTTAGTGAATTAAATACACCCAGTACAAAGTTGTTATTAAATCCACAGCCAATCTTAGATCCACGATTGTCAACACAAAAACTGAGCATTGATGCATGTCGAGTTGATAATACACTACCGTCTGACTCTGAGGCAAATGTACTACAACCACCACCACCATCACTAAAACAGCAACAACAACAAGTCAATCCAACGAATGCGATTAAATTTTCTATAAAACAAATTGAATCAACTGAACTGAATGCTGCCTTATCGCTGTTGTTTATTCTTTTGAAAATTCCAGTCTATCGATATGCTGTGCTAGATGCATTACGTCAACAGTGAGTTACTAGCAATATTTTATTTACAACGCTATATATTACTGCTGGACTGAAATAAGTAGCTGTATACCACCCACCCACCCCCTGCGCACTAACCAGTAGTACTTGCTAACCAAATTAAAATGATTTAATAATACTGGACGGCTCTGTTTTTTCGCTTATCAACGATGCTCAAGGCTTCACTCAGCACAGAAAGACGAATCAGTTCAAAACACACCTGAATCCTTGTTGACGAGTACTGCTGCCTGGTTAGTAGGAAGGGTATACAACTACTTATCTCAGTCAATCAGTAGTAGTAGTAGTAGTGTGTAGCGGCGATATGATGCATTTTTATGTTTGTCTCTTTTTGATCGAATAGATCACATATATATTATGATCTGAATAGTGTTTTCTTTTTTCGAAGGAAACTAGTCAAATTTTTTATTTAGGGACTGTGTAAATTGAGAATTTTTCCTGTGTACTTTTAATTATTTCACAGCCTTATATCAGGTGGTTGTTTCAGCATAATACATCAAATCAAATATTTGCAGACTACACAGTTCGAATTAAGATTTATGCACGGTTCCCTGGGGACAGATTTTATCTTTTGGCGAATTCATTCACTTAGCTGTACAACTGCAATTATATTTATATAGTTATTTCTTGTGCGTGTGTAATTAAAATTGTGGAACTTACATATTATATCCTATTTAAAATCAAAAAGACGGTTGTGGTGCGGGAAATTTTCTTTTCAACAAAGTCATTAACTAGTCTGTACATTCGTATATATATATATATATATATATATATATATATATATATATATATAATAAACGTAATCGGATAATCATTATTGAGAGGATCGGACCACTTCAACGTGCTGTGCCACTCTAGTTGCTCCTATGAAATTGATTACATTGGCCGTACTGTGAGTCCGCTAGTAAAACCTACTCGGGAATACTATCTAGCCTGGCTAGCAAAGGGAGAATGGGCCCACGACACGGCACCGTTTTTTGAAAAGTCCTGTACAAGGTATGATCAAGCCTCTCTGAAGAAGCGAGATTCAGACATCTGGACGTATCTCAAGCCAACGTTATGTATTCAAACGAAGTACGTCCAATCATTGTCTTTACCACGAGGAACATAAAAAGTTCTCTCGATTGTGATTATCCGATCACGTTTCTTATCCAAACTTCCTGTTATTATTACGTTTATAAACCTTATTTATAATCTTGTTACTCGGTATAATTTGAAGTGCGGTGACCGAGAATTGAACCCGGACCACACGTGTGGTCGGTGGGCATTCTAGTGCCGCCCTAACCATTTTGTCATCTGATGAAAATGTTTTCTGCAATATCTTTATGGTATTTTTCTGTCTCTTTTGTTTCCTACTAGAGCTAATCGCCATGCTGAGAATACAACGGTTACCGAAGATGGAAATTCCTCTTCAAGTCCTGATTCTCCTAGTGGTAATCTTCTCCGTCAACATTTTCTCAGTGTTATTGACTCAGTCCTGACTGAATATTCTGACAAAAACTCGTGCATATCTGTTCAATTAAAAATACTTGTATGTTTTATTTAATTTTGGCGAATTTATGCGATGTGTCAGACCAATAATTTCTTATAACCTGCTAGACTGATATTTTAAAGCAATTATTATGAATATGATTATCATTATTATTATTACCTCGGGTTCACAGTGGGAAATACAGTTTCAATGGAATATCTTTATTTCATCCTCTTCGTTGTAATTCTTTTTTATCCCACTTGTTGGTTTTTTGACTGTAGATCTTCAAGTCTATGCCCCATTTCCTGCATAGACTTCACCCTCCCGCCTGTGAAAGTTTTACAAGATAACCTTTCTTCTGTCCAATAGGTACCTATTCTTCCTTCTAAACTTTCTACGATAGCATATCCACTGAGGTTTCTGGATCCATTTTCAGTGCTCCCAGTGGAATTCTGTTTGGTCCTTCTGTCTGTCCAGCAATAGGGTGTACAGCTCCATTGTCAAGGTACTTAAATCAATGATATACCACGGGTTGATGGCTGGAATGCTTGGGAGAATTAACCACAACTCCATGGGTATTGCTAGTCTGTCGAATGAATAAAGTAAATACACTCCTCAGATGACTTGTGTATTAGGTATGCATATGGAAATAAAACTTCTGTTATAGAATCTATATGATTGACTTAATATTATGCTGAATGGAGTTCAAAATCCAAAGATTATTACCACCACCCAGTTATTAGGTTCTTATTACCTAGTGTCCCCATTCTCATACTTGCTTTCATCGAAAGAAAACAAATCGGCTGGCTGGCTTTCCGAAGGCTTTCACCAGCCCACTGTGTCGTCTCGCCTCTCTGATCCCAGCGAGAAATAAGTTTGTTTTTTATATTTTTAATATATTTTTTTCGTTTGTTGAAGTTTCTGTAGCAGTTCGATTGATTTTATGGTGTAAGGTCGCTAGCGCCACACCCAACCCTCCCTCATTTCCCGGGCTTGTGACCGGCTAGATAAGTAGCGAGCTCTGGTAAACTAGGCGAGATTATGGGTAATCGTCGGTCCTGTCTGTCTGTCTGGATTCAACATAGAACTTGGCATCGAAGTGCAGCAGTTCGAGTTGCCACGTTCCAAATACCACACAAAGGTAGACAAGAAAATGAGTGAAGAGAATCAATAGAGTTTTGACAAGTATAAGAGTGAAACAGAATGAGTAATGGTAGAAAGGATTATGAAAGATTACAGAGACTGAATACATCTGCGTAAGCCATTGACAACGATTTTGAGCCATGTCACCTATTGTCTCCAGCCATTGATTCTTAGAGTCCCGAGGGCAAGCCCCAACCCGGAAGTCTGCATCTCCCTACCTGACTCAGTTTAACTGTCAAGGATTTCATGGATTGATGAGGCCATGTTTTTGTTTGGACACCACTTACTCTTTTCCAACCAACCTGCACCTATATCAGCTAGTGATGCCCGTCGGGGGAGGCAATGGTTAGGCATGCGCAGCACGTGACCTAGCCATCTCAATCTATGTAACTTTATAGCCTCTTCGATCGATTTTCCCTCTTCGCCCAACACTCTACGCCTAACGTCAACATTACTTACCTTATTATACCACCTAACGTGAGAACGAGATCGTAAACATCTATGATCAAAAACAGACAACCTTTTCATGTCTTCAACTCGTATTGGCCATGTTTCAGAGCCATAGAGAAGGACGGAGCGAACTGCTGAGCAGTACACACGTCCCTTGGCTGATAGCCGGATCGTGGGTCGAGCTAAGGAGGACAGCAGAAAATAGAATAAAGTGGAGATGTGTTGTTGAAGCCTAATGTTCTACTCGGAACCCAAGTGAATAATAATAGTATATAATATAATATTACCTGTCGTGCTTGTCTATATGTAAGTCGGATTGAGTGATGATTAAGATGTTATTGTCTTAGAACTAGTCTCCGGATGAATGTTTCTTTTAATTCTTGCTTGCCATAACGATGTGGTTTTTGGGAGGTGGAGCAGGGGTTTGAAGGGTGCGTTAGTTACTTTTTGTATTCAGCTGTAGTGTTTAAGATGTAACCAGGTTAAAGGGAATAAAGAATGATTTAGAATTAGGAAATCTCACTTTGCAGGTAGTGTTCGAAACGATGAATCACATCTCGACTCTATCCTCTGTAACTGATGGACGCTTAGTTTTGTGTTATGTTAAAAAGTGTGGCTTTTACCCTAAGCCAGTGGTGTATGCACATAAAATGATTGTATTGGCTATTCATTAACTATTTATCACTGAAGTTTTGTGGTTTTCTTTATCCTTTCCTTCTTCAGCAATGTTTGAGTCTTCTTGTCGACGTGAAATTATCAATTAACAACACTAAATATCATGTTGATTCGACTGAAAGTGAAGCTCAATCCTTATCTGATAATTTACCGGATTTATGCCTACTCAAAGAATTAGTTCTTATCCTAATCAAGCATATTAATCATCCAGACAGAGATATGAGCACTTTACCATCAGCATTAGATCCCTTGATTATAATCACTGATCATGATCCAGGCTTTGTTGTTGTTAAAGAGTAAGTGAGTTACTTTTGAGTGCTACTGTGTGTTGCTTTTTTTCTTTTCTTTTCTTTTTCATTATGATGAGTTTCGTCTCAAACAAATGTCAACTTCATGTGAAAATCAATGAACATGCGAATGAATGTTCTGTTTTCTTTTGCTTAATAGCAGTTAGCGTCAGTATACTTTTCCTGATCTTCTGAGTCTTCTAAACACCTTAAGGAGCAATCTTTGAATATTTGGCATTCCATTTGCTCCTGTTAAGTGGTTAGCTGATGCTACAGGAATGGACTACATCGCCAATTTAGGTCATCTCTGGTTTATATGTGATATCCGACTATCGATCAAAAAATGTGTGTACTGCGCACCAGTTCGCCGTGTTCTCCTTTATAGCTGAGGCATAGCCATTAGTGAAAGTGGAAGAAATGAAAAGGCTATCTATCTCCCATGTTAGGTGGTATTATAGGGTAAATATTATTGATGTTAGGCTTTGGTCGAGTACTAGGTAGGAAGGGGAGATCAGTTGATTAGGTTGTACAGTTATATCGATTGAGATGGTTTAGACATGTGCTGTGCGTATGCCTAGCCACCGCCTTCCTCTACGGGCACTATTAGCTGCTGACAAAGGATGAGGTTGGGAAAAAGCTAGCTGATGGTGGTCAAACGAAAACATGGCTTTATCAGTCAATGAAGTCTACAACAGTTAGTTTAGGCCACCCAGCCACGTAGGTAGGTGTAGGCTTCTTGGTTGAGGTCCTCAGGATAATATGAACCAATGACGACTGGAGACAATAGGTGATATTACTCAAAATCCTCGTTCTCAACGATTGCGCAGATGCATTCAATCTTTGTGGTTTATGATATCCAATAAAACTCTATTGTTTTTTTTTGATATTACTATTCTTTCACTCTCCCACTTCTGTTTGTTATATATCTTATGAACTTCCCTTACTCTCTTCTTTTGCTTTGTGTGCTACATGGATTGAGTGTGGCAACTGGAACTGTTGCACATCTGTGCAAAGTACTATGTTGAGACCAGTCAGTATCAGCTTCCTAATCGTCTAGGTTTGATGTCTAGATCATTGAGCTTTGGCCATTCAGGTTCGAAGATATGCAATCATTGACTAAGTTAGGAAGTTGTTACGCTGTAGTGCGTTTTCAGCAAAAGTTTTAAAATTAGGCCTAATGAGTTCAAATCTAGTTATTGGACTGTAGTATATGCATCTTGTTCGTGAGGAGTGAGAAGACAAGCATATGCTGTTGTACTGACAAAGATATAGAATATTTGAACTTTGTGGACAATTTAAGTCTCATTTCACACAAACTCAAAAGTCTACAAGTGCAAACGAACTGTTTGGCAACAGAGGGAGTCAAGACAGGACTTCAAATGATTGGACCAGTGATGATGCAGATACCCGATGACTAACAACATCAAGCTTCAATCACTATCAACAGAAGAAATTTAAAGGAAGCTATCTCTTTCAACTACCCAGTCAGAGTGGTTTCAACTACATGTAGCTGCACAGATGAGGAGGTCAAAACCAGACTTTCATTGTTCTTGAATCAGTGTGGAAACCTATTGCATTCAGCATAATAAAGAAGATTCAAATCCCCACTACTAATAATGTCAAGTTGGTGAATACTTCTATATGGTTGAGAGACTTGGTGTGTGTGCGTGTGTGTGAGCATGACGGAAAGCATTTCCAACAGGCTGCTGCTGGAGACTTTCATCAATAGCTACCTTCGCTTCATACTGAAGATCAGACATTCAAAAAGGATTAGCAGTAAGTAAGTTGGACTATGAACCAACGAGGATCCTATCTTTCAATAGATATGTGGAAGGCAGTGGAGATTGATTGAATACACACTGATGGGGGCAGTTGAGTGACATCGCACGATAGATAGGCCCTTGAGTGTAGTTTGAATTGGAAACGATGAGGCTTGCGTGCGTTGAAAGGATACATTGAGTAAGCTATTTGAGGAGGAAACGAATGCTTTGAGGTAATCATGAAGCCATCTGAGAAGTTATTCAGAGAGCAAGATGAACTGGAAGTGTTTTGCTGAAGCCATATTCTTCACTTGAAACCCAAAGGAATTATATATTTGTGTATAAGCTCTATTTTGTATCATGAGGATCATTAAAATCCAGTGGTGTACTAGATAGCTCTATTTGCCTTTATTTAGGACACCTCTGTCGTATGTATCCATTGAATCGCAGACCAACTTTCCTGGTGATGAGTTGTGTGAACCTTCGATCACCTCTTTGATGTAGTACGGCTCATGATCTCCACCTTTTACAGATTCATGTGTTATTATTTGCTATTCACGACACTTATTTTGACATGATAGCTAGTGGATTGTTGCTGTCACATTAACATATATAACTATAAAAGTTATTATTATTATTTTGAATAACTTAAATTGCAGTTATACGTTTAAAATTTTATGACTAATTGTATTAACTTGATTTTTATAAGTTCATTATATGATTTTGTTACGGTTCATATATATATATATATACTACTGAACGCTGCTGTCAAAAAGACTTTATGCAGCCAATATCATAATAATAGAGAATGTAAAGCCAATATATCTATCCAAGCCCTTCGAACATGCAAAAAATGATGTCACATCCCACTGTATTTACCAATTTGAATCAACGTGTGAACCCACATACATAGGGAGGACTCATCGATCTCTGCAAGTAAGGGCTTCAGAGCATATTCCTAAATGGCTCCAGAAACAAATGGAATCTTCAGAACCTATTAACGGTGAGAACAGGAGACCTAGCTCTTCCATTGCGAAACATATTATAGAGACAGGACATAAAATTGACGTTAACAGATCTTTTAAACATATCTATAAAACGTGTTTAGGGCGTAGCCTAAAGTTTGTGGAAGCCCTAGCAATTAGAAAGTTTCAGCCACCTTTATGCGTTCAAAAACAATTCGTCATCACATTAAACCTTCCTTGGTAAATTTTGTTTTGATACCATTGCAGATGTACTATTACCTCTGTTATTTGGTTTAGTGGTCTTCATTGTTACTTTGACCTTGAATATGTCCTTTTAACTTGACCTAAGTCTATTTTCTCACCTCTTACCTCTTTACTAATTTCATATATATTCCTATGACAAGTCCGTGTGTCATCAGATTGTTCGAAATGTGTTGCGCAAATACATTACACGATTCAGACAAATTACGTCTTCTTATTGCTGTATCTAAATATATAATATTGCTTTTGTCTTATTTTACAGAGCATTGGATAGTCCAGTAGCGTTTCACAATGGTCAACATTTATTCGCCAATTTAGTCCAACGTGTTAATGATTGTTTCAGTGCAGATAATCCAGATTGTCAGGCTACACTAACTGGTTGTCTACGATTAATTCAATCCTTGGTTATAGGGCATAGTACATTACCGTTAACTTTTATATCAAAATGTACTAATTGGGATGAAATTGAAGACGTCGAAACTAAATCATCATCAGATCCCCAGATAGAGACTAAATCTTTGGATGAAATAAATGATAATTTATTTACCAGACAGCTTCATATATCTGGTGAACGTGTTCGTGAATTGTTAGGTTGGTCGGGAAGTGGAGATCATGGAAAACCTGTTCGAGATCTTCATTCATTGCTAGAAGTTAGTAGTGTGTTTCTTTGGTTATTATTTTTGTTTTTTGTAACGCATCATTCGGTCTTTGGTGTAGACGTGATATCCGGCTGGCTATAGGTCAAAGAGCGTGTGTACTGCTCACAGTCCGCTCTGTCCTGCTATAGGGTTGTGAGACCTGGCCATTGAGAGTGGAAGACATGAAAAGGCTAGGTATCTGCGTCCTATCTACCATGTTATGTGGCACGTGTAATAAGGTGAGCAATATTGAAGTTAGGCTTCGGTCGAGTGCTAGGTAAGGAGGGAGGGGAAATCAATCGACGAGGTTATGAAGCTACATCGACTGACATGGTTAGGACATGTGTTACGCATGCCTAGCCATCGCCTTCTTTGATGGGCAATGCTGGCTGATATAGGGTCAGTCTGGAAAAGAGCTAGCGGCGGTCAAACCAAAACATGACCTTATCAGTCAGTGAAATCCACAACAGTTAGTTTAAGCCGGGTAGGAAGGTGTAAACTTCCAAACTGGTTGGGTTCCTTGGGACGGTAAAAACCAATGGCTGGCTCAGATGCATCCACTCCTTGTGACTTATTATATTCAATGAAACTATATTGTTCTTTGTTATTACTATTCCTTTGTCTCATATCCCTGTCTACTATCTCTATTATGCATTTCTTCCACTTTCTTCTCTTGCTTTGTGTGCTACATGGAGTGTGGCGACCTGAACTGTTTCACATCGGTGCAAAGTTCTTTGTCGAAAATAGATAGACAGACAGATTTCAAACGTATGATATTCATCGACTCCAGAATACGAAAGGATCGAATGATGTATGGACCTGTTCTGGATCCTGGAAACTATGAGAACGTAGCTCTTGATGTTGCTGCGCTCTGCTTTATGGATCAGGCATTAACATCAAAGACTCAGAAACTAGTCACCTAAGGCAACCACCTGCTCTCTTCTAGTCACAGCCTCCGTCCAAACGAAGAGATTTTGTGTGGCATATTTCTTGTTGCCCATTTTATACCCAATTCGCTTAATTTAATAATAAATTTATGTAATTAAAATTTTCGAAGGAAGTGCGTCCTGCTGATGTGTATTGAAATTAAAGTTTAAACAGAGTCATTAGACTTCGTATAACAAACTGAACTTATAGTCAAGTACACCACTTTGTTGATAGTTTTCTAACTGTTATTTTTATTACCTTTTAAGTACAAACTGTGTGTGGATGATCTTTCGAGCATATTCATTCATACCACTGATATGATAATGATTAGCAATAAATTGTACTTGGAACATCATCCATATAAATAACACAATTGTATCTGGTTTTTCATTCCTCTGCATTCCGAGTGGAAAATAAGGCTTCAAACTTTAGCGGTGGCGTTTTATTAGCCGTGATGTTTCTTTTTTTTTACGGTGTACAGTTGCTGGACAATCGTCTTCCTTTACACACGGCCGCCTACACCGGCTAGGCGATGTTTGGGAGTGCGTTGGTGACTGGGGAGTGCGGTGGATGGAGGCAGTTGAACCTGGGTCACTTGGGTGGTTGTCCAACATTCTGCCATTGTGTGTTGTATCTCAAATAAACTTATCTAGACTTAACCCACTTTTGGACTATTTTTTTTCTTCCAGTGAGAACTATTAATATCACTTACATTGATTTGTGTAAATCAAGTTGTCCTATAATTGAATGTGCATTTCTCTCCTCACATTTATTTTCAGATGTTAGCTGATGATGAACCATCACTTGAGTATTTAAGAAGTGGTATGAAAAATCTCTTGTCATTATTGTCAAATGATTATGACATTCCTGAATTGAAGGAGTTGACTGCTACTAGTATGCTGCTGCCTCTGCTGCTACTGCTACAACTATTAATACCACTAACAGTGCCAATAATGAATACTTGTCAGATCAATCCGATTCTTACAAAATCAGATCAAAATTACCAAATCCTCGATCATTGGATATATTAGTGCGTGATTACCAGAAGTTTATTAAACTCTCCTTAGATGACAACAATTCAGAAAAAGTATCTAAGCATCAACCGAAATATTATTATAAAAATCTTTCGGCTGTAAATGAAAAAATTTCAGAAGATATAGACATGGAATTACCTTCAAGTGGTTCTAAATTCATCGGTAGTCAGGTGAGCAAAGATTTCTTACATTCCGAATACAACAAACAGTAGCTGTGATATTGTTGTGTTTTTTTTTGTTGACGTGGCAGTAGAGTTGCTAGCCTTGCGCGCTTAACTATTGCTCTTTACTATGAGCTCTCTATCAGTGCTAGGGAACCAAGCAAAATGCATCGACTGGTAACAGATTTCTGATCTCGTGGATGGATGACTGGTGAGCATTCTACCATTGAACACTGCCGCCTCATTTCACATATGTTGAACTACATTTTGTTGTGTTCTGTTCAAAACACTTTTCAAGTATTGGCTTTGTAGGAATTTTGTTTGATTGGTTGGAGGATTTCATCATGAGCTCACATCAATTAGAGAACCATTGGAAAACCTGGGAGTACTGTGCAGCTGTTTCGTCCTAGTGTACGACTCTCCATCAGTACCTGGCCAACGGGATTCAAAACCAGGACCTTCTGGTTACAAGGCTAGCGAGCTCGTAGACCATTAAGCCACTGGGCCCCAATCCAACGGTCAGCCCATAAATTCTAACTTCTGCCAAATCATTAAATAGCGCGATCACTTCACAATGTCTTCTTCGATGAGTTTGAACCTCGGTGGGTGCGTTACTGATGAAGAGTCCCGAACTATGACGAAACAGCGGACTGTTCAGTACTCCCAGGTTTTCAAGTGGTTCTCTAACTTACGTCAGCTCACGATGGAATCCTGCAACCAATAACACATTTTTGTCAGATATAAGCATGAACATGTTGGTCACTTTTTAAAAAAAAACTCTGATCTACTACTACAATTCATATCTTCTTTAGTAACTGTCATCATCTCATTAAGCTTCTTTTTCAAAGTATTTGACACCTATCACAATTTCCACTTAGAGAAACGTTTGAGATTTATCCCATCTTTGTTTAATTTCACCCAACCACCCCCTGTTAAATTCACGATGATGCACGATTGCTCTGCACTAAATCAAAGTTTAAAGATAGTACGTTGACCGCTTAACTCATCTGGGAAGTTGCATGAGCATTAATTGCTTACTAAATCTCAGCACGGATACAAAAGGTTCGTATCGGATTTGCTAACTTACATCATCTCTGGTGTAAAAGTGATGACCGAATATCAATCAAAGAACTTGTATACTGTGCAACAGTCGAAGATATGAAAAGGCTGGCTGTCTTTGACCATAAGCATTTGTGTTATATCCTCCCGTACTAAGTGTTATAATGTGGTGATTAATATTGAGGTTAATTGTAGGGTATAAGGTAAGGAAGGAAAGTCAATCAATGAGGTTGTGAAGCTATGCCAATTGAGATTGGCGCTAGGACAAGCATTGCGCATGTCACTCCATCGCCTTATTCTTCGATATGTAATGTTGTTAGCTGACGTAGAATTAGGCTGGAAAAGTGTTAGGGGTGGGGTAGAATGACAACCGGGAATCAGTCCATGTGAGTTATTGACAGATGATTTCAGCCAGCCACATAGGTGGGTGGTGGGTGTAGTCTGCCACTTTTTGGTCTTCGGAATGTTATCAACCAATCGCTTGATACTGTTCACGATATGACTCAAAACTAATGTCTGCCTGCCTTTCTTACAATAAGTGTGTGTCTTTTACTGTAATACGCAAAAGTGTATGTACACCTCATAAGACTTAAATCCTTTTACACCGTTTTGTAGGCAATATAACATTGATATTACATAAGATGCACTGCGAACTACAAACCGTTTGACACTGTGATCAAAACAACTTCTCGGCATTGGTTTTCTTCGTGACTGAGGGATACTGTTATCTTAATGTTATTGCCAGTGTAGTTTGGTAGATTTTTGTAGACATTTTTAGTGTTTTTGCAGCGTTCCCAATGTTAGTCCTTGTAATGACTATTAACTTTATCTGATGCATTCATCAAACAAATCGTATATAATCGCTATTGTACAGGTTTAGTAGATCTTATTGTTGGAAAGCGTCTCTTCGTTGCCTCTTGTCTTTTATTTTTCTGTTATCCATTCTCGTTATATTTGCATTTAACTAGTTGATGATTATCTATCCGTTTAGGCAGTCATTTTCAAATACAGTATTGCATAATAATTTTGGTTGGTATTTACAACAGGTACTATTGGTTGATGGTGACCTGATAATAGGGTACTTTTGTATGACATGCTGATTCGGCGTAGTATTTATCCGATTTTCATCCATACGAAATGCTTCAAGATGTCCAGAAAACATTTTCTATATTTGAAAAGCATGGGACAATTATCTTTGTATAAACATTTCGAAGATAAGGCACTTATAATATACAAACTTCTGTGTGAGCAATGTGTGCCGGCGGTTCGGCGGTAGGACGCTTATCAACCGTGAACATTGTCTAGGGCTAGCTCCTCAGTCGATACACTCATAAGCCTTGACAAGCCGGTATTAAGGCCGATAAAGAGGGAGGGTTGGGTGTGTGAGGCTAGCAAACCCACCGCGTAAAAATAAAACCACCACTACCGAAACTTCGAAGCTCCAGCTTGAAGCCCTATGTCCCACTGGGAACCTAAAGGAATAAAATTATAACAAATAAATGGTGTGAATGATATTACTGAGTCGTAGCATGATTCAAACTAACGGTATACTGGTTACTCAAACTTCTTTGTAGCAAAAGGTTAACGAGTATCAGTTATTAACTCCCAAGTTTTCCAATGGTCGTCTAACCGATGTCAGTTCATGATGAAATCCTGAAACCCATCAAATCCTTGCCAATCAACTCTTGAATATCAGTCTGATGCTCACCAGTGACTCGCCCTATTCAGGTAGGTTCTAATGGGAAGTCGTGACCAGTGGGGTACAGTCGGTCGAGTGTGAGGACATTTACTCGCCGATGACACTGGCTAGTATTCGCACTATGTCGTGGATTGGCATAAGTTGGAATTCATGGGCCATTGGATCAGGTCCCAGTGGCTTAATGGTCTACGAGCAACGGTCTATGCAACCTTCGTCGGTGCTTACTGATGAAGAGTCCGAAACTAAGCTGACGAAACAACTGTCCAGTACTCCATGCAGGTTTTCCAATGGTCCTCTAACCGATGTCAGTTCATGATGAAAACCTGAATTACGTAGTTTTGCCAAGCTGCGTACCAGTTTATGAATATTATTAGTATCACTCCTTCTGGTTTCGAATGGAGCATAGGGTTTCAGCAGCACATCGTCATTTCAATCTATTCTTTGCACTCTTTCTAAGTAGGCTATAGGCTTTCATTCCCTTCTCACACGATTTCTTCTATATGTCACCTTTGGACGACGCTTATATTTATAAAACAATGTTGTTGTTTTTTCTTTGTACACATATATTTCCATTCATTAGATTCCTGTATCCATTTCATATCAAAATAACTTAGTACAATGTGATTTAAATGATATTGCAACTAATGGGTGTAATGGATTACGAATACGAGAGGAACTAGCCAAGTGTGGACGTCAACAAGATTCAAGTGAAGTAGCCATTCGACATCAGAAACGTAGACGTGGTCAATCAACAATTATACAAACTGGAATAAGTTCAAAGAAATTTGGTGAGTAATTAATCATGAACTTGTAATCTTTCATAAGTCCGTATTTGCTTCTTTAGTGGTACTATTTTAATAATATTAATAATAATAATAGAGCTTTATTTCTAACAATATGTGAACATTCGCAGTTAGTTGTGTTCTCTGAGCTGGTTGGTTAAATTGCAAAGTTTTCGTCGTCCTTCTGGACAACATCTTCAGCGCAAGTTTTAGCATAAAATGAAATGACTTAAATGCCCCATGAATGATAGAATTGTGTCTCCTGGCAACCATCTTCGTGACTGACTGGTAGTCAATTTACATCTGTATTGATCATTTTTTATTGACTTGGATTTTGAACTTTCTTGTCACATGATTTACTTTTTATTAGTTAGTAGATTTGGTCTATATATTAACATGTTTGTTAATCGCATATTCGCTTGAGTACCAGGCTTCTAGGAATTCTCTGGCGCTTTTGATGTTTCCTCTGTTTAAAATTTTTGGCCAAAGTGGGCTTCTCTTCGAATGAGAATCCAAGAACACAAATTAACTGTGAAAATACATGATATATATTGTTTCATATCAATGCATATAGATAATTATGGACATCAGTTTGATTGGAATAATGTTGAAATTTTAAACAGAGGAAACACTAAAAGTGTCAGGGAATTCCTAGAAGCCTGGTACTCAAGCGAATATGCAATTAACAAACATGTTAATATATATTATAGACCAAATCTACTAACTAATAAAAAGTAAATCATGTGACAAGAAAGTTCAAAATCCAAGTCAATAAAAAATGATCAATACAGATGTAAATTGACTACCAGTCAGTCACGAAGATGGTTGCCAGGAGACACAATTCTATCATTCATGGGGAATTTAAATCAGTTCATTTTATGCTAAAATTCGTGCTGAAGATGTTGTCCAGAAGGACGACGAAAGCTCCCATAAACCAACCAGCTCAAAGAACACAACTAACTGCAAATCATTCATCTGAGCTACAAATCTTCTCTATTATTTCAATATATGAACATATATTACAGAAATTTTCAGCGGATTTAGTTGGAAAATATTCCTTCTTCATACAAGATTTACTTATAATGTAGTAATCTGAACTATATCATATGAGTTAGCGTGTCTGATTGGAAGCCAATTAAGTAGGCGCGCGAGTTCATGCAGCGTTCATATGAGAGAAATGCAGAAGAGTGTAAGCACTTTGATGGACGAGAATTCTGGTAGCCCAGCGATTTAAACACGCCGCCGTAGTCACAGTGAAGGCATATCTATTGTTTTTGTTCCTTTCCCAACTAACCCATCAACATATTTGTAAATCAGTAACGTATTGATGTTAGCTAGGTGTTACTAAAAAATATAATTTTAAAACCGCTAGTCTCTTTAGTAAATTTGGATAGAGTTATATATATTAGAAGACGGAGATTATTTGAAAAATGCATGATGTATTTATGCAATACATTTCCATCAGGGGGCGCATATTGAAATACACTGAGATGATAGCTGTCTATAAAATTAAGCCACTCCTCCACCTCCTCTGTGTGTACAAAAACAATTTACTACGACCCTTAAATCTACCTTAGCAAACTTTATTTGGTTATATTACCAAGAGTATTATCCGTCATATTCTTAAAGCCTTTATCATTTTATTTGTTTTAATTGACCCTCTTGGTGTGGTTGTGTTCTCTGAGCTGGACGGTTTGGTTGCAAAGCTTTCATTGCTCTACTGAGCAACATCTTCAGCGCATACTTCGATGTGAAGTGAGCTTTTAGAATTCGCTAACTAACGACATTCAGACCAAAGAAGCAGCCAGCACCGAGACAAGCAAACTAGGGGGTGAAATGTCACACGAAAACAACCAATCACGTTCAGGGTCACTAGAAGAGATGACTAATAAACTCATAGAGAATTCTAAAAGCTCACTTCACATCGAAGTATGCGCTGAAGATGTTGCTCAGTAGAGCAATGAAAGCTTCGCAACCAAACCATCCAGCTCAGAGAACACAACCACACCAAAATCATCCACCTGAGCTACAAATCTTCTCTATTATATCTAATTGACCTTCTGTTTTTCATATAAATTGAATTGACAACTAGGTAGATGTGTGTGTATTGCGCAAATACATCACACATTTTTCACATAAACATCGTCGTCTAATAATGCTATTTAAAATATGAGTCTAATGGTAAAGTGTGCGTCGGTGGCATAGCGGTTAGGACGCCCGCCGACCATGCACATGGTCCGGGATCGGTCCCCGGCCGACGCACTCCTTTACCTCGCTAAGCCAGGAATAATGCTGGTCAAGAGGAAAGGTTGGGCATGAGGCTAGCAACCCTATCCTGTAAAATAAACACTGCTACAGAAACTTCAAGCCACTAGCTTGAAGCCGTATGTTCCACTGGGGAACGTGAAGGATAAAAATAATGGTAAAGTAAGACGATTAGATATTTCCTTTTGGATTGTAATTTGTTGTCTACAGGTATTCTAATTCTGGAGTACTGTGGTTATTTGATTTATTTTGAGTCGTGGTAGACGTTTTCCTTGTTGACTGAATTCGATAGCTGCCCACCGAAAGAGGTAATTAGTTGGATGATGGCATTTCCTTCTGACTACATGATGTCTTTATTTCTCTGTTACACTTATACAATATTTGTAAATTTTTTTTCTAACCATATACTATTTTACTGGTTTTTCAGTCGCACCTATGCGTGGTCGAGGTTTTATGCTACGTAGTGCAGCACCATCTAATCCTATCGCTAGTAATACAGTTCCTGCTGTCCTCGGCGCTAATACTGGACAACTGAATACAAATGTTCCAGGTGTTCGTGTAGATCCATTCCGTTCGAGACCGTTGAATACAAGTCGTCCGCCAAGTTTACATGTTGATGATTTTACTAAATTAGAAAAAGAAGAAGGCATTATTGAGGTATGAATGATCATTTTGAAATGAATTTTTTTTATTTATTTATTGTAATCCTATTTGATGTACAGGGTTTTCATTCAGCTAAGTCGAAATAAGTTTTTAGGACTGAGATACGAATATTGTGAATTGGCTAATCTTATTTGTTTGGTGAGCTTAAGCAGAATAAGAAATCGTCGTTAGTGAGGATAGCAGCAGTGAGGGATTGTGACTAACTGGTTTCAACCTAGAACTTTGCACCGCTGTGCAACAGTTCGAGTCACCACACTTCACTTAGGACACACAGCAAGCGAAGAAAGTAAAAAGAGATTCAAAACAGAGATATGAGGCAAAAAGAATAGTAATATGGAGGAATAATATAGTTTTATTGGATATTGTAAGTTACAAGGAGTGGATGCATCTGCGCCATCATCGAGAACGAAGATTTTGAGTCATATCATCATGAGAAGGATATCTGTCGACTTAGGACTGCACCAAGCAAATAATCATACGGAAATGATTCGATATGATTCATTCTCAATCCAAATCGTAATGAAACCGAATTCTCATGGTGGTAGAGTTCATCATAAACTGAAGTACGTTGTCCTGTCTTGTTCACTTAATTCTATCAAGTCTGGTTGGAAATCATGTGTAAATTTTGAAAATTACTAATCCGGACCACTAATTCTGTGTAAGGCAATAAGAATTAATGGGTGGTGAAATTACCACTGGAGTTCAGGATACACACCTCGTCCTATTCGTGACTCGTCAGCTCGGTGTACACACAACGACAAGTGAATGGTAATGGTGCTGTTCCCGCTGAGACTCGAACCCAGTACCCATCATTTGAAACGTCAAAGCGTTATCCACTAGACCTATTAGGCGACAAGAACTGTATCTTATTTTCTGTTGTTTGGTTCTCATTAGATTGGCTGTGGGAAATAAAGTATGATTTATTATTTGAAATCTTTTAACCGTAGAATCACTCGCTTTGGTGATTTTTGTTAATATGTATGATTGAAATTCTCATATCGTTCTCTTCATCGGTTCTGATTGTTTTGTCTTGTTGTTTGCAGCAGGATACCACTCGTTCTAGACCCTATCGTGACACGAGAATAATGAGAGGTAAGCATAATAATCTTTTTGCTGTCTATTTCTTAGCCTATGTGGCCATACTTTCACACAGACTGTTTATGTGTTTTTAGCTGCAGTCCACGTAATCAAATAACTCATTTATTCCAAGGTTTAAAACTATACTCTAAGAGTATTGTTGTTGTTGTAATTTTAATACGGTTAGCTGGAAAGAAGAATGCCTGGTGTATGCATTTTTGACTTCTTGGTTGTTATAATCTTTGTGCTAATTTGGAGAAAGTTTCGTAGGATTAGTAACACTAGTATCTCTATCATTTTTAGTCTTTTATGCCTTAAATGTAGGCCATTGTTTTTAGTTCGCTCTACGACTGACTGGCCTATAAGCTTTCATTTCCCACTCACATGATCTCCTTCGTGTTGTTCTTGGAAACCTGTCTGGTTACTTGATGTCATTCAACGCCCGCCCTCCCCCTCCTCCTCAGCATGTCTACAATCCATCTCCATTACTTTCTGTCTCTTGATTGGTTGTTTGTTGCTAATCCTTTCTCGTCAGCGCCATCTGATCTTCAGTTTCGCGGCAAAGGTGGAAGCTGTTGATGGAAGTTTGCAGAGGCCTATTGAAAATGCTTTTTTATGATGCATACACACCAAGTCTCTTTATCTCATATAACAGGATTCACACTGATTTGTATTGAAAATCTAAATCTTCTTCTTTATCCTCAGTGCAGTAGTAGTAGGTTTCCATACTCATTTTTGGAGTAATGAAAGTCGTCTGGATGACTTTTGTAATTTCTACCTTTGAATATCTTCATCTATTCGGATGCTTGTAGTTGAAACGATGCTATCTAGGTGTGTAGAAGATTTTAGACAAAGCTAAATCAAATGTTTGTGCAGAATAATTTGATGAGGTTAGCATTTATTTCGTTGTCAGATCCTCTTCAGCTGCTCACAACCTAAAAGTTGATTTATGTCATTAATTTTGTCATAATCGCAAGACTCAACATGATTTTGTTACCATAGAGACACATATGAATCTATAAATTGTTCCACTTATATAATTCATGAAGGAGGTCAAAGTTCAAACAAAACATAAACATGGGAAATTAATAGTCAGATACATTGAAAATTGAGTTGCACGATCAAGACAATAGGAGAACAGTTGATGATGAGTTTAACCCAAGTCATAGTGTGGTGGTGTGATACAGAATATTGTGTATATTTGAACATTCTATTTCATGTCTTTTAATGTAAACCAAAAACACACACAGTGATTGGTTAACGAATATAAATTTCATATATATAAACAGCGGTTTGATTAATGGAAAAGATACCTTGGCTTTCGTGTCTTACCTTCTGTTGTTACAATAGTAACTAATAAAGAACTAAATTAAACTAAAGCAAAAAAAGGTGGTGGAAGGTGTGTGTAAAAGTAAAAGATGGTGTAGTCAGTTGAGACGAAGAGATGAAACGTTAGGTCAAAATCATGTAGAGCCTTGCAAGTATGACAAAATTCTGTGTACATTTGCTCAATCAATTTCTAGCTTGTAAACACATGAAGAGAAGCTGACGACGAAATAAAAATGATGGCTCCATATCATATTCTGCACAAACATTCGATTTCTTTGCTTTGTTTAAATTCATAAAGGGGAATAAATGTATGAGATATTTAGACGAAGTGACTCCCCTTACACTTCTCTCGTTGGTCGTGATTGGTGCTTGTCGCTGTTAGTCATCGGGTATCGTCATCACCACTGTCTTATCTAAGTTCATTTGAAGTCCTGTCTTGACTCCTCCCTCTTTTGCCAACTTTCGCCTGTAGATTTTTGAGTTTTTGTTACATGGGACATCGATTGTTCGCTAGGTCCAGATCTTCTAGAGTCTTTTTGTCGGCCTATCCTATGATGCAACCGCTTTAATAATAGACATAATATGATATATCGTGTCGTCTTTTTGTGGGACACATTATTTTTCTTTAACTTGAAATGTTAAGAAAAGTTTTGACAAATAACAAGGGACCGTTTTCTCCTCTTTAGGTCGTGGAGGCAGATACAATCCTGTACGTGGATCATTTCCTGGTCATAGTGCTTCAAATGTGTCCAGTATTTCAAATATGCCATTTGGTATGAAAATGCCAACCGTTAATCAGTTGCATACCACAGCGCTTTTACCGAATTGGCCTGTTGCTACTAGACCACTGTAAGTTATATTTTTCCTCTTTATCGTTAATGATTGTCAGATACATCGAACTGCCTCAACTACTTATCTCATTACTTTTTCGATTTTTTTTGTTGACTATCGTGTGGTTTGTATACATTTTTTCATTATCCACTTATTTGGTATTTTGTTGTATTCAGAATATTTTCTAGAAGATGTCTGTTTCAGTCATTTCCGTTTAATAGTGTCATATATATCGCGTTCATTTCACTATTTAGCCTATTTCCATCATTAAAAAAACTTCCTGTTTTCAGCCGATTCGATAAGTTATGAGATGAGCTATTTAACTGCTTATTGTATATGGTGTTGCTGCTCATTGGCCCAACTACTGTTCTTATCTTCAATAAGTCCGTCATTGAGTTTCCCTTCGCCCCCCGCCTCCTACCCTTAATGTGCACCCATCCTAGGCCTAGCAAGATGTCTAACTTCTGAATACTCTAGATTTTCGGATTTTGCTATCACATAAGTGATGGGGTTTTTTTCCCCGAATATTTCATTGGAAATTAGAGCTTGGCTAGGAATACTTCAACTGATTCGAATATTAATATCCTTAGATTCAGTGTTTTGTCTTCCTCTCTCTCTCGCGCGCGCGTAGCCTTGTTTTGAATAGCATTTGTTCTCTGAATGATGTTAATCACTTAGTTTACACTCGTTTACACTCACCCATACCTTTTGCACGTGGTGGTCACGTGAGATGTAATATCGTGTAATTCATAAGAATTTGTCCTACAAGTATTGACATTACTGTATATTATTATTATGAAATTCTTCTTTCAAACTTGGTTGTTATTGTTATTCTATTGTGATTTTAGTCCATTACTTCCGTTCAGTTTGGATCCACGAGTGAACCAAGAACGAAGAGATCGACACGGGCGGTGATAACATATCCAACTCTCTTTCAGTGTCAACAATGTAATTAAATGTATAGAACACTGTGTTGTATTTGTACTATAAGTTATGCTTTATGTTTACTTTCTAAAAAAAATGATCTGTACAAAATCAGCTTTTAACTTTTGACTGAAAAATACAGTCGGAATTGTGAAAATCTTTTCCTGTTTCTTTTTTTTTTAAATTTCATCACGAATGGTCACCAATTAGAGGTTTATTGTTTTTTCTGCGAAAATTCGGGAGTGTCTTCACCAGATAACATTATCAGACAACAAGTTAACAAGCAGTGATTAGATGGAAATCCGATGACCTCATGAAACAGAACTTTTGTCAACTTACAATAAATAAAGCTTCACACTCGTATCCTGTGTTTATGTTTCCGTGATAAGAAGTATAAAATTTGTAGTTCAAGCAAAAATTAGAAGCATAATCAGTCATGAGATGCTTCCTACAACATCTGGCTAAAACGCCCAGCACTATTGGTTGGTGTGAGTGTTGTACACCTACTCAAATCACTAACTTGTTAGTATATAGCTCCAAACTTTATGAAATCTCTAGTGATTTTATCATAGTTAAACAGATTGAAGCCCGGAAATTAGTGTTTTTATGCAAGTTTATGCTCTGATTGCTAGACGTTAGAAAAACGTTGAAGGATTCGCACTGCTGCTAACGTATAATTCACCAAAGTGACGTATTCATGTATAGTAACTTGTAAAATTATTTAATTCAATTTTAGATTTCCCCGTTGACTGACTGCTCGGTCTCAGGTTGACATGTCGGCTCCTTGTGCAGATGCTTCGACGATGTCTGGTCATGTAACTTGAAGTCAATCGGTTGATGGTGACTAGCAGGGGAATTCAGAATGCGCATTTCGTCCTATTTGGGAACATCATCACTCACTGGGGAATGCAGTGACCGAGTCTCATAGGATGAAATACGCATCCTGGATTCCACTGCTAGTCACCATCCACTAATTCACTTGTAGAAATGACTATCTTTTGTATGGTTACATCCCCTGATTTCGACTTGATCTTTTTTCGAGGATTCTTTGAAGTGATTAAAAATGCCCATTAAAAATTTTTCAAAAGAATGGATACTGAACAAAGATAACTGTTTTCGATAACTCCATCATCAGGCTCTACAGTTATATATACATTATAGTGAATGGATGAATGAATTAGTGTTATGAACAACATGAATGTTGTTTTAATAACATCGAATCAATAATATTGATAGATTACAGCTCAATAGCATCAACATAAAATAAGCTGAATTTCAGAAAAATTAGGAAAGATAATATTACAAATTTATAGTCTCTAGGGCAGTAGTAGGGGCTGGACTTACTTCTTTTGAACACAAAGCATTGGTTGTTTGAGGTGAATTGCAATAGCCTCTGCTGTTTGGAGCATGCGGTGCTTCGATGATGTTGGCAATTTATTAGGTAGCCGGTAGATGATAGAGAAGGATTCTTCCACGCTGGCTTTGTGGCCGGTTTGCACTAGATGGTCTAATATCGAACTATTAATGGTTTCAACTGCACCTTTACTTAGCCATAGTGGGAGATGTTCTCGAGCACGCAAAATCAAGTTCCTAGAGCAACGGCCAATATAACTCGCTCCACCACTAGCGGAGTTGAATTGGTAGATACAATTTGAAGTGGCTAGTCTAGGTACTTCATCTTTCAGTCGAGGTAGTACCATCGGTCGTGTAGAGAATAATACGTGTAGTTCGCCAGCATTGAAGTTCTTTGAACTGATTTTCTCAATTTCCTCGTAATTATCTCACTTGGTATATCGCCCTTGAATTGTAGTCGTATATATAGTGGCTTCTTGTTTACAGATAGTGAGTAGTCCTTTTCCACTTTCTTTGTTATGTGTTTCTTGATAAATTTTTCGGGATAGCTATTTTCGATCAAAGTATCATATACAATGCTTAATTCATCTTCAATTACTTCTTCTGAGCATATAGCTCTAACTCTGTGGCTGAGGGTCTTCACTAAATTTCTTTTGTACTTGATAGGAACGCAGCTGTGAAAATGTGTATATTGTCCTGTCCAATTACTTTTTCTGTGCAAATTTCTTTTTATGCTACAATCTGGCTTTCTTGTAAGTAGAACATCCAGGAAGGCGATTCTGTCTTGGGATTCCTCTTCGCACGTGAATTTCATAGCCGAATGTACTTCATTGAATCTAGTAATTATTGTACTCCTATCAGAACCATTATCACAAAGAATGAAGGTATCATCCATATATCGGCAATAAAATGAGAGCTTACTGATAAGGTTGTTTAAAGGTCCATTTTCTAGCTTACTTAGAAAGAAATCAGCCAGAATGGGACCCAGTGGGGAGCTCATCGCCACCCCGTCGACTTGCCTGTAAAGCGTGCCGTCAAACTTGAAGTTTACATTCATGGTACATCTTAATAACAATTCTTTTAGGATTTCAGTACGGATGCCAATGTTTATCGACTGGTTATCCACTCGTTCTTTGAAGCCCAATTGGTCAGTATTTTACTTTCACTTATTTCAACAGCTAGTATTTTTACATTTGAGTGAAGTGTGTTAAAGCATTTATTAACTAATAAGTTTTAAAATGTATCATTAATTTTAATAATATACTACTTTTGTTTACGGAAAAATATTCAAGTTGCCTTTGTTTTGTTTCTTCTAATACAAGGTACCACTATTTGTATTTCTATCAAATAATTGTTCGGTTAAGTGAAAATCAGTGTTAATTGAATATTATTATATGCATAGTGGTGTAATGGTGTACCGCTGAATTATCCGAATTTGTCTGTCCAGAAAGTTCGTGTCAGCCTTCATGTCTCTTGATCCTTGTGCCTGACATTTATATCCGTATTTTGTCGATCTGAAAGGAAATGCTCCGTCTAAGCTACTGCTTTAATAACCTAAGACAGTTTGGAATCACTCAGCCTCTACTTTTGCAATTTGTTAACTCTTGTATCTTACCTGCTGTACTTTACTACTCCCCGTTAGTCTTACGTGAGCTACTGAAAAAGCACTATGTCATATTGAGGAGGGTGTATTAAAGGTTATCAGTAGGGCAAGTGGTGTGTATCTTAGTCAGCCTGTTACTAAATTAGTTGATAGACATCTGAACTCAGCCGAGAAATTGTCTCAATCCGTATTATCTAACCCTCAACATCCTCACTATTCTCAACTCTCCTCTTTTTTTATATCCCCTCTGATAGCACTAGTAGTCAGTTTAAAAGGTTGTATGCTCGTATTACCGAGTATAGGAACTCTGAGATGCCTTATTTATCCCGTGTTGTATGCGATAGAGTGAATGTTAAGCGCGAAGCTTATGAATTACTATTATTATTATTGTTCCCTTGGGTTCCTAGTGGAACATAGGGCTTCAACTGCAGGTCTCCACTTGCTTCTGTCTTCTGCTGTACTTTTCACTTGCATCCATGTTAGTCCATACTGTTTCAACTCTTCTTCACACGATCTCCTCCATGTCACCCTTGGACGTCCCACTCGAGGGCCTGACGCGCGATGTCACCCAATCGCCTCCTCAGCCAGTGAGTGTCCAATCCATCTCCACTTTCTCCTGCATATTTGTTGAGCGATTGGTTCTTGTTTTGCTTGTTCCCATAGTTTCTTGTTGGTGAGTCTTTCCAGCCATCTGATCTTCAGTATAGAACGAAGGCAGTTGTTGATAAAGGTCTGCAACTGGCTGTTGGAGATATTCTTTGTGACCCGCCAAGTTTCTGATCCATCCGTATAGAAGAACTGACTTAATGTTTGTATTGAAAATCCGAATCACTTTGTTGTTGATGCAGGCTGAGTGACGAAGATTTCCAGATTGGTTTCAGGTTGATGAATGTGTTTCTCGCCTTCCCGATTCTCGATTTTACATCTTCGTCCGTTCCTCCTGTAGTTGAGACAATGCTCCCTAGACAAGTGAATGAAGTAACCTTTTTCAAATCCCTTCCGTTGATGGTGATTGGTGTTGGATGTTGCTGTTGTTGTTGTTGGTTGGTTATTTTGACAACCTCCGTCTTGTCTATGTTCACCTGGAGTCCTGTCTCTGATGCCAGCCTCCTCGACCAGTTTGTCGGTTTTCGCTTGTAAGTCTTCGATTTTGTGTGACATCAAACATAAATCATCTGCGAAATCCAGGTCTTCTAGGTTCTTCACGTCGGTCCAGGATACCCCTGTCTTCTTGTTTCCCACTGTCTGACGCATAATCCAGTCCACCACAATTAGGAATATCATTGGTGATAATAATCATCCTTGTCTGACTCCTGTGTTTACTCTAAAAGCCTCGCTGAGTTTTCCGTTGTGGATCACTTGACATGTGCCGTTGTCGTACATGTGCGCTGAAGTTTTTGTAGCAATTTGGTCAAGTTATGGGGGTGGAGTTACTAGCAGCGCCCCCCAACCCTCCCTCTTTATCCGGTCTTGGGACCGGCTAGAAAACTAGTGAGGTAGTAATCTAGGCGAGGTTTATATACATGTATATATATATATGACTTCCCTGTCACTAGAAATACCAAATAAGAACCGCCATCAACAGTCCTGTAATAAGTTTCCTAAAATTAGGTTCAATCTTGTTCGATAAAATTAGATACAATATTATACCAAATGCTGAAAATTCTACACTGCATTATTAGTACTGTTTTTCGAGTAAAGCAAATTATTATTATTTATTATTACTGTTAAGCATAGTCTGTTGTTATACATTCAGGTAAAACGTCAGGTATCATAAGATTTACATGTCAATGTTGTAAGACTCATTATTAAGTCCTCGAGTTTATCTTTTCTTCATTTATTTGTTTTCCGAGTAGCGAAATAGAGGCGTCAAGCTTTGATCTATGCATTTTCAGTAGTGATGGTGTTTCTTTCCATAGTGTGTGTGTGTGTGTGGTTGCTAGCCTCACGTCCAACCTTCCTTCTTTACTGGTCTCAGTACTGGCAAAACCAAGTTTATGAATACGTATGTTAGAGATTGAGCCTGACCCACGTGTACAGTTGGTGAGCATTCTACCACTGGACCACTGACGCATTAGATTTTATCTTACATATTGACCAAAATATTTCTGCTTCATTACGCTTAATTAAAAAAGATAAATTTGCTTAGTTTTCAAGAGTTGGTTTATTTTTCAAATTTCAACATGGAT